AAGCTAGTACTTTAATTTTCTTTAAGTAATATTAAATAAATTAATAAAATAAAAATATATTTTAAAGCTTTAACTAAGCATTTTTATTTTAAACTTTAAATATTTTTATTAGATAAATACTTATAATAATATATAGTAATATTACTTCTCTTATAAGCAGCTAATTAGTAGAGGAAGAAAAGTATATATACTAAATTTTAGCTACATAGAAGCTTTACTTTACAATAAAATAATATATTAATTTATAAGCTTAATAATAATCTAATTAATATAATTAAAGTATTATTAGAATGCGCTTAATTAGGGCTTTATAACAAGCCTTTAATAATATTAATTAGAGCCCTAATAGTTAAGATATAGTATAATTTATACTCTTTTACTAGCAGCTAATTAATAGGGGAGAAAAGTGTATACGCTAAGCTTGCCTTTTTACCTGCAGGACTACTACCTAATCCTAACCTTAAGCTATATAGAATAACTAGAACTAAAACTAGAACTAGAACTATAATCTTATTATTAATTAGAAATAATAAAAATAATAAGAATATATATTGCTAATTATTATACCTATAAGAGAGGTAAGTATCTTTAGGATAAATAATATAGCCTATTATATCCTTTACCTATTTTTTAATAATAATAAAAAATAATTAATATTAATTTTATTATTAGCCTTCTAGAATATAATAGAATAAATAATATTTATATTATTATTAATTTTTTAATTAAAGATTAGGAATATATATTAATTACCTATAATAAAGATAAAATTTCTATAGAAGAGATAATTACTATTTTTATTTAATATATTATTTCTTATTATAAATTGTTAAATATAATGATTTTAGATTAAAGAGGATATTTTATCTTTAATCTATAGAAATTAATATATAAAAAATAAAGAATTAATAATAAGCTCTTAATAGCTTATTATCTTAAGACTAATAAATAAATAGAATAAATAAACTAAGAAATTAGAACCTATTTTTAAATATTTATTAATATTTATTAAAATAATTAAATTAATTTCCTATTTGTAATAAAATTTACTTATATTAATATAGATTCTATAGCTATAAGTATATTATTATTCTTTATTTCTAATAGCTTTTATCTATAAATAAGCTTCTCCTTAAATAATATTAAATATATTAATCTATATAGCTATTTATAAATAGTTTATATAGAGGATATTATAATAAAAATAAAAGCTATTATTTAAAAATATTAAAATTATATTATTAAAGCTTAGGAATAAATAATAATTTAAGCTAATCGCTATAAATAGAATATAGAATATAAAAAAATAACTATATTTAGCTAAAAATAAATAATTTTAAACTACTTAAGCTAATAAAAAACTAGATTATAAATAAATTAGTCTTTTTAGAATACTATATAAAATTAGATATTTATATAAATTAAATTTACCCCTTTTAATAAAGTATAGTAAAGTATTTTATATAAAACTCCTAAAGAAAGATTTTAATAATCTGTTCCTTAAATAGATTAACTTAGAGCCTAAACCTATTATTATTAATAATAAAAAAAATTATAGTATAGAGTATATATTATAGTCCTGCTATAATTATAATATATTATAATATTATATTAAATAGGAGGATATTAAATATAATAATTAGTAATATAATATATATAGTTTTAATTATTTACCTAAGCTAGTAGTAAAGTTTTATTATTATTATTTCATAACTATAAATAATTTTAATAAATAACCCTACTATTATATAAAATACCTATAAAAATTATAATATTCTAATTTATATTATTTTAATTATATATATATATATTATTTACTTTATTAATACTCTTTATTAATAATATTATAATATATAAAAAAAAAAAAGGGGTTTTATTAAAATTTAAACTTAAGGTTTTATCTTAAGAAGTAGGTAGCTAAAGTAATAGCTACCTATTATTAATATAAACTAGTTTCTAACTAAGCCTAAGTTATCCTTTTTAAAATAAATACTACTAACTATACTATAGGATCTATTATTAAAAAGAACTATAATTAAAAAATATATAAAGTAACTTCTAAACCTAGAATATAAAAGATTTTAATATATATATTAATATAGATTTACTTTAGTAATAATTGTAGCTAAGTTTATATTATAGTTCTACCCTTCTAAACTATAAAAAAATGAAAACCTTAATAATATAGTAATAATAGCGAAGTTTTATTATTTTTTATTTAATATATTTAAGGACTTATAATTTAATAACTCTTTAATATAATTTTTAATTAATTTTAACTAATTTAAATATTACTCTTTTTATTAGAATAAAACTATAATAAAGATATTAAAATAAAAAGAAACTATACTTAGCTTAGTTTTAAACTAATTTTCTTTAATAAAAGATTAATTAGGAGATTAAGTTATAGCTACTTTTAATACTAATCTTAAACTAAACTATTTATTTCTTATTACTAATAAAAAGGCTAATACTATAGGATTTTATTTATAAAAAATTATAAAATAGTATAAATTTAAAATAGAAAAAAATTAAATACTATAATATTATAAAATATAAAAAAAGTAGGTTTTAGTTCTATTATAATTTAAATATAAATAGCTTAAACTTTTTATAAAGGTAGTTAAAAATATTACTAGCTATACTATAAAATTTATTAATTTTACTAAAAATTAAACCTAGTCCCCTAGTCCTAATTATATAAAATATTAATTAATAAATATTCTATTTATAAAACTAGAATATAATTAACTATACTATAAAATTATTTACTAAAATTAGAAACTATTAAAAAGATATTTAAGCTAAATAAAAATATATAATAGAATTAAGAAAAGATTATTTAGTAGAAAATTTAAACCTAACTCCTACCTTAGTTTAAATCTTTTAGAAATATAGTCTCTATAATTAATAATAAAGCTATTTAGCTATTCTATTAAAGAACTAAGATATAAAAATAAAATATATAATTATTAAACTTTTAATAACTATTAAAGATTTAATTCTTTAATTAATATAAAACTTTACCTATATCCTAAACTACTTATAATTAATATAAAAATATATTTTAATAAAAGGGGGGTATTATTATAATCTAGATTATATCCCTTCTAATTATATAGAAATAGTACTATTAAAGGCTTAGCAAGTATTGTAAACTACTTTTATATAAGGGTAAATATATATAGATTAAAAAGTTAATATATAATAATATTTATTAGGTATATAAATAGGGTTTCTATTTAAGATAAAGCTAGTTCTCTATCTTGATTCTCCTTATCTTTTCTAGGCCTTAGGAGCTAGTTTTCACCCCTAAGTAGACTTATAATAAACTTAATATATAATATAAACTAATTTAACTAAGTTAAATAATATATTAAGTTAAGTTAATTTAAGTTATTAAATTAAATTATAGCTCTTATAATTTAACTTAATTTATATTAATTCTAAGTATAATTAAAATAATATTAATAAGTATATATAAGCTATAGTAAATTACTTAGATAAATATTTTTATATAATAAAATAATATTTCTCTTTTTTAAATTTTATTATTAATTTTAATTAAATAAAAATTTAAACCTTATTTAAAAAAGTTAAATAAAAACTTTCTAATAAGTCTTTTATTACTTAGATTAAAGTAATATTAGTAAGTATATATAATATATAGTATTTATAGTAATATAGTAAAAAAGGGCAATATTAATATAAAACTAGTATATTAACTTCTAAGCTTAATATTACTTTACTTTAATTAATTAAAAGTATATTTATATATATTAATTAAATATTTTAAAATAAACTTAAAATTATAATAAATTATTTTCTTAAATTAAAGTAATATTCTTAAAGTCTATTACTAGCTCCTATTAGTATAATAACTTAGTAGATCTAATCTATTAACTAGTTATATAAACCTAATAAAGATTCTATTTAATAAATTTATACTATTAAGTTAACTAGCTTATAGCTTATTTAGTAGTTCTAAGGGAATACTACTAGTTCCTATAATATACTCTCTAGTAACTAGTATAAAGCTTATAAATATATAATAAAAGATAAAGTAGTAAGAGAAGTACTAAAGTCTTAGTAATTATAAAGTAGTTAATATTAGCTTTAATATAGGAAGTCTTTTATTACCTACTCTTAATATAGATAGAAGAGTAGTAAGAAGAGCGCAAAGGTATAATAATAATTAAGTTACCTCTCAATTAGTATATATTAAATCGTTACCTAAAAAGAAGCTACTTATGCTTTTATTAAGTAAATTCTCACAGTCACCCTAACATCTCGTCCCACAGTCTATTGTAAATCTCCGCTTCCCTTCTCTCCATCTCCGTCGCGATACCCCACACAGGAGCATGTTGGTCTTAATACTTATTAAGAAGGGGTTGTAAGGCTGGTTGCTGTCGCTGGACATGTTTGGCGGATTGTGGGTGAGGGAGTGGAGGACAGATTGTGTTGGGCGAGGGAGTATGTTTGGGATAGGCAGGCAGGAGATGGCGGGTGAAGATAGCGATGGCGTCGAGTGGTGGGATGATTATCGTCAGTTGATGAGGAGTTTACAAGACGGTGATGAAATAGCAATATTTGAGGATGCGGAGAGAAAGTCAGAGATCAGATAAAAAGTCTGTTTTATTACCAGCTCGGGGGGATGTTTATTGGTCATGTCTAAGCAGCAGATGGTAATTTAACAATCACAGAGGGATAAGTAGGTCTGACATCGCACGTCTCTTCTTTATTACTACGAGCACTATCAACCAGATCACATCGGATGAAATCCGGGCAAAACAAACGCAAGCGCTGCATGGGGTATCGCAAACAATCGCACGCTATGCATCCTGTTCTATAATGCATCTCTCATCCTTCGTATCCCTCCTTTCCCCCAACTTGCTGCTCTCCCCTCCCTCCCACATCCTCCTGTGCTATCCATCTGCCTTCTTCCGACTACAAGCGCCATTCTAGTCGAAGATCCTGGGCTTGATTAGCCGATTCATCGCCTACACCGCCGTCAGCGACGAGGGCGGCCGCACCGACGCGTCCTCTTCTTTCTGACACCGATCAAGCCAGTCCTTGAGCTCCGACTCCAGCAACGCCTCCTCACCTTTGAACAGCAGGGTTGTGTGGGCATAGCTGCGTTTGTTGAGGTGGTGTTTCAGAATAATTTCGCGACCATCGTGAGCTTGTACCGCCTTGGCTTTTTTCAACGGAGCATTAGTAGGCTCTCTACATTTGGAAGGAGCTTTCAGCTCGCCTGGCTTTCTGCTTTGGATGTTGTACGAGAGTGGCTGTAGAGCTGGCCGTCTGGCTTGTTGCATTGCGAGTGGGAGTTTTGAGACCATGTTATTGGCGGCGTTAGCGTTATTCTCCTTGTCCATATAACTGGCAGACGCAAGAGGCGACGCGATGCTTGTGACGACTCCTGCATCTTTGTATGAGTTCTGGGACTCGTTCTCGCCATAGTTATCCCAAATACCCAGAAGAGGCATCAAAGCTCCAGCAGTCTTGGTGGCCATCTCCTGTGCGGACCTCGAGTTGATGGGTGAGATGTCGGTTCGCTTTATCAGTGCCATGCTCGTAGCGCTTTGATGGCCCTTCTTTTTCTGACTAAACACCACTGATCTCTCGAAATCGATGAACATGACGCAGTTCAGCTCTGCGCTCCATAGCAAATTTCGAAGCGCGATGTCGGTATGTAGAAGTCCGAGTTTACGCATTGCATGAAATGCTTTCTTCGCGCGTTTAGCAGCCTTTGACCTAGCTGTAGGAGATGTTAAGTGCAAGGGAGGATTGCGTATGAGGGGTTTGCCGCCATAGGATAAAAACATCATAGCAGTCAGATGCTTTTGGGCAGTGTAAGCATAATGATTTGCAAGACTGATGAGTCCCAAACAGACGGGAATGCTATGTGCTTGGAAATCCACCAGATGTTCGTACACTTTGCACTCGTGCTGTAGGTCTGAGACCCAGTGAAAGCTGGTACCCTTGGCTATTAAGGTATAGCCGAAGGCACTTAAAGATGCTTTAAAGGTCGCCCCTCTTGACCCTGCAATGTAGAGGTCAATGAAATCATTGTCAAGATCTTTTGCGAGTTGATCTCTCATAAGACCCAGAAATTGGTGTTTGGTGATTGCATGGCGGTGAAGCCCATTATTTGCGTAGAGATGCTCAAAGTAGTTGGGACAGTCCTTGTCAAGTAGGCCGTGTTTTGACAGACTTAGAATGCATGGCTGTGTGCAGTATTGCCGTTGATTCCCGCCGTACTTTGTACCCGTTGGCTCATTGAACCCACTGCTCTTGTTGGCTTTTATGAGGAGGCTGGGGCTTTTGGTATAATCATTGCTACCTTGCCCGGAGGGACGTGCTTGATCATCGTCACCTGAGTCACTGTTGGTTCCATTGGAACGAAATGATGATGTGTTTAACGATGTTGCACTTGGCAGCACTGGCTTTGACTTAACGCGTTTCGAGCGCAGTGAGTAAGGACACACAAAATCGTCACCTGGACGAGCCCAACGCCCTTTATAAGGAGGATCAAGATCTTTCTTTTCCTTCCGGAGCGTTTCCGTAATCCGATCAAGCATTGCCTGATGATCAGGCTCCCATCTCCGCACAACATTCTTTGCTTGTACCAGCCATTCATGTGACAACCGCTCGCTTTGTAATGCTTGGAGGCAGAAGATGAAGACCCTACCAAGGGCTGTTTCGTGCAGCCGATTGTCCTTCTCCGCGGTTGATGCCGAATCCCAGTTAGTGCCATCTTCCAACTCAACCTTAGGCACACAGGGGAAGTAGAGTAATGTTGTTGGGTCTTTCGGGTCGATATGCAAAAATACGTAGATCTCACCTGTACTGAAGAACCCATACTGAAGCCTACTCTCTAGCATATAATCGTATGTCTGACATGCGACTGCGGTCATGAGGAGCTCTGCGTGATCTTTGAGGGTTGTTAGGGTCTCGACGCGGTTGATGACCTCCTCGAATGGTCTGATGTCACGAAGCCCGGCATACATTGTCTCAACGGTCACCTTGTGTGGTGGCTTGTATTCTACAACGAGTCGAGGGAGCCGCTGTCCGTCGACGTTCACAGTGTAGAATAAGTCTGCGTGAACGCTCGATTTCGCCTCGTTCTCGTTCACATTCGCTATGCTAGCGCGCAGGCGGTCATCCGCAGATACAGAGGCTTTCAATGTGGGTGTTGATGGGCTTGAGGGAATCGAACGGTCACGGAAGTCGTTCAGCTCAGTCTCCAAACGCTGTTCCTCACTCAAGCCATTGCTGTGATTTTGGAAACTGATCTCGCCGTTGACGTGAAATGCTGTGGAAAGCTTCTTGTTTGTGCGTATCTTCGTTAGGATCTTTGCAACTGGAGTCTGCATCACTCGCTTTATCGATATAACGAGGTCGGTTTCCGAGCTTATCCGATCACCGCCTACATCTCCGCCAACAGTTTCAATGGTGTTCAAACTATCATATTGCTTGTCATAGAAAAAATCAGTATCCACGGTCCAGAGTTTATTCCAGAGCTCCTGTTGAATGAGAGGTAAATTGTCCCATCTGTGTATCTTTGAAGGGCAGAGTCTTCCCTTGGGCCTAGTCATCAATCCTTGTGTCGTGGAAGCTGGATCATCCTCAACTTGAAGGTTGCATTGTAGATGTCGATGAACAGCATCCATGTAGGTACGTAGATCAGTTTTCTCGGTTTGCACCCTCAATGCCTGAGCCTCGTTTCTAGAAGCCTCAGCCTCGGCTCTAGAAGCCTGAGCCTCGTTTCTAGAAGCCTCTGCCGCATCGGTCAGGTCCTTATTTGCCAATTGCGCCTCAGCAAGTAGGCGCTCCAAGCGTTCCATCTGGCTCTCCACAGCCTGTTGTTCCGCCATGACGCGCGACACTCTCCCCCAGATGGTCAGCTGTACTGAATGCGACACGTCCCTGCAAAGACCTCAAGAATTGTACGCGATGCGCAGCGCCCTTGACGTACGTGGATGCAAATGATGGGCATGGATGTTTGCTGGTAGAATCGTGAGGTAGTATAAGAGAAAGAAAGCAAGAGCGCGTTGTAGACGCGATTTGATTAGCGCGCCAAGACGGCCTGCCCCGCCCGTCGTCATGGCAACGCTCGCCCGAGGTTTACCCGACATACTTGTACCACAGCTGGCTCTAGGTATCTTAGAAGGAAGGACAGCAGTAGTGCGCATCTGCGATATCCGGCTGTCGATTCAACTGGGCGATGGCATCGCCCGACAAAACTTAAAGTTGGGTGTTGGTCGATCTGGGAGAGACATAATCATTGTCAACGACCCACATTCGAGTCGCAAGCAGCAAAAAGAGAGGGTATCAACTGTCCTGCTGGCGGCAAAGAGAGAATCTTTGGCCACCTCAATCTTAGACTTGGTTGCAACCTCACTTCAATTTCAACCACGACTGCTCAAAATCCGACAACAAGGGGAGATGAATCGATTTCAGTAGCGACGCATCAGCGCCAGGCCAAAGCATTACATATATTATCATAGCAATATGAAGTTGCACAGTCAGCGTTAACCCCTCCTAGACTGTCTTCGTCTGCTTAGCTACCAGCCTGAGCACTGACATCAACTCACGAGACGTGGAGGCTGAGAGCTCTGAAGCCACGAGAGCAGTGCTCTTCTGAGAACCTACAAGGTAGATGCCTCTCTATTACCAAACAACGCTCGTACCCACGTCTACCAGAGTCAACAATGCCCCAGCATTTCCACAGCTTCGCTAGGTGCAGACTGAGATGCTAACAATGATGCGGTAATACTGCTTTTCGCTATTAAGCTAGGAAAAGCGTTGTGATCCAATCATCGTAAACTTATCTTGATATCTTTGATCGAAGTCTCATCTCTTGATAGCGCTGAGCTTGAGTTCGAGGCATCTAGATGTTTCATGTCGGTAGTCGCCTTCCTTAGTTCATCTATTAGTCCTCGAACAAGTCTAAGCCAGAACATACAAAATGCCGCGTCTTCCGTGAAGAAAACGTACTACCACGTTCTATACGATATGGATGCAGCGTGATTGCACTGTGGTGAGACCACAGAGGATATACAGGGTTGCGCGAAAAAGCGACAGCTTAACAAAGCGACAGCTCACTTTCTGTGTCCTTGTGGTTCAACGCTGGACTTAAGAAAGCCGAAGGATGGATAGTGTAATTGTCTTGCATTAGCTACGAAAGGTCGACGAGTGAAATTCGCCTATTAGCTGGGAAAGTACACTGGTGACCGACCATATACAGTAGGTGTGGTGCGTGTACATCATGCAGGAATCTTTCGACGTGAGACTTGGAAAAAGCCGGATCAGGGATGGCGCCGATTCCTACCAGGCTTAGGGGTCTTTGAAAGTGGGAAACTGCTTGATGCAAGACTTGTGGAAAGGTAGATTAGGGATAGCGCAATTCCTTTTCGCCGTGAGTTAACCTCCTATAGCAGATAGAGAATCGACACGAGATGAAGAAACAGATAAAGTAGGAATAGTGGGATCCTATATGCAAAGCGGACAATGAAATGTTGACAAGACACAGAAAAATGTGGCAGGAGTCCTTGGAACTTCAACGCCAGACCGGTTGAAAGATCAACAAGGAAATTCGCCACCGAAAAACAAACTTGCTAGATCGACGTGAGATTTGGGAATTGATTGATAAGGAAAGGGGGGAAAGCTGCTGCAGGAATGCGGCACGAACTGCAACCTGTGGGCAGGTCATAGGAGTTCTGCCACATCTTCACGTTTTGAGCCCACTTTCAACGCTGGATGCGGGGAATGATAAGATGAGTTTAGCGTAACATTGCTGGATTCCCTTGCTGGGCCTGTGGGCCTATCACCGCACGCTCGCCCGCCGAGAACAGCCCGCATTCGACGCCAGACTTTAGAGTGAAAGGATAAAGGTCAGTGTCCAATTGTCTCCTTGGCGTAGGCATTCCTTTTGCGGATACGTGAGGGGACTTGGGTCTTTCCTATGACTCTGGATTCTCTGAAGCTAGTGTATAGCCAGGCGGTACCTCGTTAGGGGCAACATTTTCAAGATTAAACGCGTTTATTCTAGAGCACTTCCCCTATTCTCCACCAAAAAATGTCAACTATCAAGAGGGGGGCAGCGACTTTCAGATTATAATGCCGTGAAGCACGTATTACATGCTCTGTGTCGTCAGGGCAATGCGCGAGAAAGGCTGACAGGGCGGGAAGACATCATACGTGTCGTGAACCACCAGACCTCTGAGCGCATTTCCTGAACTCGATCTTCTTGATCTCTTCCCTTTTTGGAATTCCTATCTTCTTCACATCGAATCAGCTGGTGGAAACTACGTATACATATAGGAAACCTAGTGGAGCTAAAGGTGTCGGTGGTGGTGGCAAAGGCTTGAAGTACGCGAGACTCAAGGGTGCCTCTCAAAGTTCTTATTAGTATAAATACCCCCCTAGCCGGTTCGATGCAAGAAGGACAGAAATTCTGGGAGAGGCAAGGCTTTGAATTTTCGATTTTTCAGAAGTATAAGTACTCCCCCCAACCCACTCAACGCTACTTCTTTATCAACTCTCGGAGTAGGAATGCGTTCACACAGAGGCAAGGGGAAACAAGCTTGGTCACAGCGAACAACATCTCAAGCCTCTGCGAGCATAATAGGCTTTTTGGTTGGGAAGCACGCGTTCGATGGGTCATGGAGGCCATGGGTGGGGAGTTGGTGCTATCGGAGGGAGAACGTGAGCCAGATATCTCCCGGCAGGTAGTGATTTTCAAAGGTCGGAAGGAGGAAGATTAGGGAAAAGGGTTTGTCGTGTTATACGAGGGTCGTATGACTATGGGCGGAGACTGCGCTGATGAGTCCTAGAATATCGAGCATAGAAGGTAGACGAGGATGATTGCTACTGCGACGTAGATTGAGAGGCTGCACTTTGTTAGCTGGCTCTGGACGGGAACAAGTCTGGCAGAGGATGCTTCACTGACTCTGCTGTCGAAATGTTTGGAATATGATGGCCGCCTCATCCAACAAGGGCTTTTGCTTGTCTAAACTCTTGCTCTTATGAAAAATATCTGCCTTAAGAGGGTGGCTCAATTCGAGAGACACTAGAGTCACGGCCGCCTTGAAAAGAGGCCGCAGAGGAAGGGCGGCCCTTATAAGAGGGCCTAGAAGAGCGACGGCATTGATGAGAAGAAACAGAGGGATGGCAGCTATGAGAAAACTTAGAAGAACGACCATCCTGGCAGAAGAACCAAGCGACATCATCTCATCCAAGGAATGTCGAGGTATATTATACCTATCGCAACAGTAGGCCCCTTGCGCACACGGCGAAGAGAGACTTGAGTCTTCTGGAGAAGATGCCGGGGAAGAGTTGCTGCCCAGCTGCTGCAGATTGTCTAGTAGGGAGGAGCGCCGTGGTGGAGGAGTATCTTCCAGGGCGAGAGAAGGGTACCAGACTGAATCTTTCATTGTTTGACGCGTGAGCTTTCGAAGAAAGATGTTGCAATGAATCTTCTAGTTGTAGACTTGTCACTCCTCATTCGCGATAGAAGCTTCTAGTCCCATATAGAAAGATCGAATGCTCAATACTATCCGGAATGAATGACATGTAGAAGCACCTCAAACCCCTTTGTTTTGCCTTGCTCTTGCTTTTCGGAATGACCCTGGGTGTTGGGAGGCAGCTGGTGTTCGGCCATTGAGTATGCAGATACCACGAAGAGCGTCTGGAGCGATTGAGCTGGTGCAGAATGATGGATACACTCCCGATGTCCACGCCAAGAAGGTAAAAAAGGACAAGCCGTCGATGATGCTTCGGTTCGCGGAGGAGGAAACTAACGTTCTCCCGGCTTCCAAAAGCATTCGAAAGCAAAACAGACAGATGCACCTGTACCTATGCTGCTGAGAATGAATGAAGTCTTTGACAACTTCCTCGTCGATCTCGAACACCTAAGCCAGATGAGCAGTCTCGGCACTTACAATGAGGCAGCTACCACGTCGCTCTCTAGCGTACGAATAGTCGCCTACCCTCGGGGGCATAAATATGTATATAGACAACCAGCTCGCGAAGATCCTCGGACCAGGTCAAATGTTCTGGCGTTGGGAGGAGCAAAGTGGCAGCATGGGACATAGAGAGTAAAGGAGACTCCCTAAGCCAAAGCGAGGATATAGACGACTTATTACAAGGTCTGTGGAACTGCATGCGCCAAGCACATCTGAGAGTCTGTTTTGAGTCTATGATTACGGCAAGCACGTCGGCCTCAAAGCGGCCAACAAAGGAAGGCTTGAGACAGAACGCTTCAGATAGTTCAAGAGGCGTCACCCTGACCAGATCATGAGACGTCAACTCACTGTGGTACGGCCAGCACATTAGGGGCTCGCTTCAAGCTAAAGCATATTGCAAGCACATCAAATGACTGTGCCTTGATCCTCAGCGGGGATTTGAGCATCTCACTGGCGAGCGATGCGCAGAGATGAGCGACATACTCTCTCCTGTTTCAAGGTATGACCATCAAAAAGTCGATGGAGAACCTCGATATCGGTCTTTTCAACCTGAAAGACCTTTTTGGGCGTCATAATAGTAGTGTCAAGCCTAAACATATAAGAACAAGCCGCCAGGTGTTCGCCTTCCGGGAGAAGCTGGAGTCAAGAAATGGTGGGCATTCTGCGAAAGTGCTCTGATCAAGCGGGCAACATCCTCGTGAAGTTTCTTGCCTAGGGCTGTCCTTCGAAATCGACCTTTCAGAGAGCGGACTGGCTGCCATGATCTACCCTCGGAGGACTTGCTTTCAAATCCGATCTTAGGATTGCGACACTTCTTAGCCAATCATTCAGGCTCTGGTATGAGTGGTGTTCACTTTTACATGATCTCCTAGCATCAGTAGCGTCTATCTCTACTAGACTGTTGGTTTCGTCGCTGATAAAGAGCCTTTCCTCGAGATTCTAGATATAAATTGTCAATGGATCAAGTAACCAATGAAAAGCGACACAAGTATTTCTGCAATTGCCATTTAGAAGACCTACAATCCCAAGGGATGACCAGCAAACGAACTTTGAGCCAACAAAGAAAAGCGACACCGATATATTTGGCGTCTCGAACTTGAAGAGAAAGGCTAGCCAAAGATGTACTTGGACGAAGAAGCAGCAACTCCACAGCCATTAGGATGTTCGGACAGTCTATTGATCTCAAATACATCGATAGCGAAAGTTACGTCCGCAATTATTGTCAAATGGCATCCGGTACCAGCAAAATTATCAGATATATATATATGTAGCCAAGAGTTCACACACCGCAAAGCGTAGCACCCTGTCAAAACATTTGCACGCAAGGATCCGGCTTGAGACATGACATTTGCGAGATCCACACTGGCTCAAAAGCATTATACAATGCAGCACATGGTCTCTAGCCATGATCGCGAACGATTCGTATGCGACTTTGATGGATGTGATCTCTCACTCACATCGAATATTTGCCTTGCAGGGTTATCATGATACGGTCGAAGTCGGAGAGCACATCTTTGCGGTGAAACCAGGACAACTGAGCACACCTGGACTCAACCATGTCGGTGCATCGAGGACAGCACCCCCATAGAGAAGGATCTGTTGTGGGATCACGACGCATTGCGCGACATGAGCCCATGGGAAGATGAGGGCTACATCATTCAGTGCTCGAGCGGAAAGAATAGGGAAATGACAGAGAGTCCTTGCGCGGAGTCGGAATTGTGACAAATTGCCAGTGTTGCAAGACTTATCTACTAGGTCTGTCACCCGCGTCCGAGAGACGCCAGGACCGCCAACTGACGGTCCAAAGTGCGGTCACCTCTCCGGGGTGCAGTCATCGACTTCAGATCTCACTCAGCGAGAGCAGATACGCTACTAATGTGTAACTTCATGTAGCATATCGCTATTGTTCAACAGATACCACGCTAGATCTGCTATGGACGAAGCGAACATAAGGGCATGTACAGTGCGAGCTGGATAACGCAAAGACGGTGCAGGACGGACACTCAGTTCCCGAGAAGCCCGCGCCACGAGAGACGTCAAAGCTCTCTACAATGCCCCCATAAAAGGTATCGAGGGTCTGGCGGAGAATAAAGGGCAAGGGACGAACGCGAGCCCCATCGTCTAATATGCTTCTTCTGATCTGTCGGTGGTAATCGACTGCAAATCCGAAGACCAGCGTCGCGACCCCTTCGTCGAGTCGTTAAAGCTACTGCCTTTGCGGAGAAGAGCTCGGACCTGAAAGATTGCCGCCTGATGCTGATACAAGTGAGGCTCAGCACGACCAACAATCCTCCTCGCCCAATGTATCTATCTCCAGGTGAGATTCAGCAGGAGCCACAGAGCCCAGTGCCCACGATCAGCACTATTCATACCAGAGCACATGGATCCCTGATGCTGTCGGATCGCCAGAAACCAGCGGGACTGACACGACTCTCCTAGCTAACGATACGGACATGCAGCCAGCTGATATGTAATACCGATAACGAACAGCTTTGGCGCCGTGGTGGCCACAAATGCCATGGGATTCGTGCGATTTAAGTTTTCAAGTGCGGAATACGCAGGCATCTTTGCTGGCGCGGACAACAGCGACTTTTGAATTCTAAGAAGCAGATAGAGAGGACCAGAAGGTGGTGCGGACACTTCAAGGGAAGCTGGGCTGCGGAGCTGAATAGGTTTGGAGACGAGCTTCTGATGAAAGGGAAGGGGGCAGATACTTCGTGACGTGGAGGAACAAGAACGAAACAGAGTTGGCCTGACCTGGCCTTAGAAGGATTCGTTAAGGAGGAGGAGGAGGAGGACGAGTGTGGCAAAGTAGGTAGGAGTCTACGGAATAGTATTTGACTGTCACGAAGAGGGCGCATCGTTATCTCTTGTTTTGTCGTTGATAGTATAGTATAGTAAGAAAAGATTGAAAACGTTCCTGTGCTCTCTTTCCATGCGTTTTACTTCCTTTTTCATCTTTGTTTGGTTCTAAGGTTCTCAGCTGCTGTGCACAGATAAGTAGAATTGCCTGCTGTTAGCTTTTAGGCACTTGATACGCTCGCTGAATCGAGGGTTTGGTATATAGAGCTTGTGAGAGAAGAGCAGAACCATGTGCATGATGGAGAAGGAACTGGCGATAGTGGAGTTAGTGGCAGAGGACAATATTCAGTGCCGAAGTATTAATTGATTAGAGTCTACCCAAATATTGCGTGATCAATGCTCGGCATCATGCCGCCGATACCCAAAGTCCTTCACTCTTTCATGCCCAGTCCCAGACCTATTTGCAGGCGCTTTGCACCGTGTGGCGTGACGTGATTTTCGAAATCTAAGCGTGGGACTTCCCAATTTATCCTCTTTGTCCATTTACAGATCTGTTCTGAGACATCGCTTTGTACTTGCCTTGTTTCTTATCTCTGTGAATTCTTTGTTCAGGAACGAATGTCAAGACCAGGGATACCCGCGTTATACGTGAATGTCGCGATGTCTCTTAACCTTTCCGAGCTTGTGATTTCTCCATGAATACCTTGCTGGACCTTGACTATGAGGGAGACTGAAGCAGGGTGTATCAGGATTAAATGATCATGATGCCTCAATGCTTGTCTTGTCGAGATCAGTATGAATATGTTTGCGAGATCAGAGGCTCAAAGGGGCACATCATTGTCGGCGTGATTGCGATCGGTGAATGCCCGAAAGGCTCTAGCTTAACCCTAACCGAGGGCTGCGCCTTGAGACCAACTAGCGCTAGGGCTGAAAACATCTTGGCATTTTTGCGCCTTGCGGATCTGGAGCGAGCGTTTTCCGTATACAGAGTGAATGTTTGCAATTGGGCAGGTGATCCACTCTGATTCTAGGTAGGCAGATAACAGGAATACGTAGTGACGTGTCCCGGAAGTCAATCACACTATCATCAAGCCGCGTCAACAGACAAGCTACAACTTTGGCTACATTTGCTACTTTCATACTGCTTAAGTTGAAGCATAGGGGCATTACTCAACGCGATAGATTTATCCATCTTTTCTTTCGTTCATACGTTCATCTCATAATTTTGCAACTTTTTGAAAAAGTTGCCGGGAAATGAGGAACAGGAGTGTCATTCACTTATCTCAACACTAGCCCCGCTCAACACCGCCATTCACCGCAAGACATCCGGCTCTCAACACCTTTTTCGGAATTCTCTTGAGGTTGGATAACACTCTGACTGTTGGTCCACCGGAGATCTACATAATGTGGATCATTCCCTGTTTTTCATCATGTGGCTTCCAAAGCAGAATATTCTACCGCTTGCAACAATCCTACACCACCCTCCTGTGCATCACTTAATCACTTTGCGCGACTGCTTGATTCAATACTCACTCTTTCTACACAACTGCCATGGCTGGACTCGCGACAAGCCAAGCTCCATTCACAGTCCGCGCGCGGACTGATGTCGTTGAGATCAAAGTACCAGAGACGTGGATCCAGCTGACACTCGACCCCGACGATCTCGATAGCGAGCAATTCTTGCGCGAGTTTAGACTCAAAACTCTGCGAATACACGACGAACAGCGCGAGAGGCTGAAAGCCTACACCTGGAGCGACAGATTCAAGGCCAGTCTTGCGCCTTACACGAGTCTCTCCAAGCATCTACTGATACTCCAGTGCAGGTCTTCGTCGATCTTCAGACCACAAATGCTCGAGAAAGAGTTCAACGAAGATCGGACACTCAAACAAAGCCGTCTGCGAACAGCTCGGGGAAACGTATGCCTCCAGAGTCGAAGGGACCTTCGACCATTCCCCTCGCTGCGGACAACATCCAGTATCACACAGCTTCTACCTTGGCTGAATCAAATGACGCGATCTCATCCCAATTTCTTCCCTCTACACCTCAAACTTCGCCGTCCTCGTCTGTTGGCAATGCCAGATCGAAGCAGCCCGCATGCACAACCATGTCGCCTACAACACCCTTACACTCGAGCAGAGCCAATTTGAAAGAGCCTGACAGACATGAGGCAGCACCTACATCGTCACCACATTCAACCAGAGCCGTTCTAACAAACGCCGAGACACGCGAGGTAGCAGCTACATCATCTATACCAGCGTCGCAAGTCTCTGCCACTTTTCTCTCAACGTCTACAAACCGCCAAACGGCAAGTCTCGACGAAGGGATGAACACGATCGGCGCGCCCAATTCGGGGGGGGGTTGGCTCTAGACTAAAATACTCAGCGAGTACGGCGATTACAAGACCACACAAAATGCGTAAGCTCGAAATCAAAGACCTCAGAGAGTGGAAGACCCCTTTTGCAGACCAGATCGTGAGGGCCCAGACCAACATTAATGGAATCCATAGCGACGTGTACGATTTCGATCCACGGCACTTGGCGCCCGCAGCTATCTACGAGGACAAAAAGATGGGCGTAAAGCCTTCATATGTTGAGCACCTGATCGGACTTCGCATGTTCAGAAATCGAGAAATGAGGCGATGGTGGCAATTTTGCCCGTGCGCCCTAAATGGGCACCAATGTCCAGACTTGGCACGATGCGAAGCTGCGGGGCTTCTTGTCCTGTGCAAGGGAAAAGACAAGGTAACAAGAATTCTCTCCCAATACATGCCTCGCAATTGGATGTTGATCGAATACAGGATACATGTGGGCGAAACAGGTGCCATCGACTCCACGCATCCACTTCCGAGACCGCCGACACGCTTCCAATGTACCGTGACTTGCAACCACGACGTCATTCTCCCTTGGCCGTCGATCCAACAGTGACGGAGCTCCCGTGCTCATGTCAGAATAAGAGCAGCGCACCTTTCGAACACGGCCTGGCTATCCAGATTGTTGGAGGCATTTGTCACGAAGCGCACCACAGTGCGCGAGAGAAGTCTCGGCACACGTCCTCGAATTAGAAAAAGACGAGAGATGCAATCCCGGGATCGTTTGAAGTGGTATCATGGACAAATATAAGGCGATGGACAACCAATGTTGTTAGGAACTTAGTCTCTGCTTCCGATGATCAAAAGATATCATGCCAAGTGCGAGGTTCCCCAAATGCTCTGCTTTCCTTTTGATCTGCCTTCCCTTTGATCTGCCACTCTGTCTTGCATCCTCCTGGACGTTGGAGGTTAAACCTGTTTGCTCTGGGGCTAGAGCCTAAAGAATGCCAACTCTTGGACGTGGAGGATAAACCAGTCCACCCTTGCTCTCATGGAGGATAAACCTGTACACCCAAGCTCTTGGACGTGGAGGATAAACCTGTCCACCCAAGCTCTTATGGAGGATAAACCTGTACATCCAAGCTCCTGGACGTGGAGGCTAAACCTGTCCACCCTCACTCCTGGACGTTGGAGTATAACCCTGTCCATGCACGCTCCTGGGCGGAGGAGAGTAAACCCGCCCAAACGCTAGGCGCCGAGTACCATCTGGCACTCACAGCCTACCTCCTGGACGTCGGAGGTTAAACCTGTTTACCAATCTCTCGATAAGGAGTATAAATCTTTCAAAAAACTCTAGGACAGGAGGATAAAGTGGCTCCAAATCGCATCTGTCCCCCTCGCGGGAGATAGTTCCTTGGCCGGAGAAGAAATAATACGCCACCTCCTGGCTAGAGGTTAAAGCTGTCCCCTAATCTCCCCGGTAGGAGACTAAACAATCACCACAGCTCCCGGACCAGAGTCTAAATGGTCTGGCATGCCTGTCCCTTGGATGACGGTTGTCGAACACTTTTTGAACACAACTCCTAGGCGCGAGTATAAAGGTGCTACTTCCATGACAGTCGAGCATCTTTCTTTGCATCCTGGAATTGGGGGGACTTACCCTGTGATATTTCTTTCCTCCTGAGCTTGGGCAAATCTACTTCTTCCCTTCCTAGGCATGAAGTCAAAGTGCTACTTCCACTCCATGATCATCCTTTTGTATAATGGATGGAGTGGAGGGACCAACCCCGTGAGTCCCATTCAAAGGACCCAAGTATGGGCTCTCGGGGTTGGGCCATCCATTCCTAGGCATGAATCGAAAGTGCTACTTCCAGTCGCCGCATGCGCAAGTATGCATTGATGGAGGGACTTTTGGAACTTATTTCGGTCGCACTATTTTGGCGAAGGCGCGGAAACCCACTCTAAAGATTGGAAATATCCTTCGGGAGGGCAGGGAGCTTAGTGGGTGCTCCTTGTCCCCATCGTTGTACCACCTTTATGGGGTAGAATGAAGGGGGTTATACTGAAATGCGATAGAACGGGGATGTAGTAAGAGTATGAAATCGTATACTGTGAGTTCTTGGAATGTAGACCGCATTGACGAGGAAGGAAGTATGGCTAATACGTACGTGATGTAGTCTGATGGGATGTGGGACATGAGGTGGGAAATCGATTTGCGTTCAGGAGAAAGACTGGGCTGGGTGGAGAGTATATCTTTTGTGTAGACAAAGAATACTGAAGACTCTCACCCATGGATACCATATACACATCCATGCTTGCTCTTCTTAGTCTCGTAATTCCTAGATCCTTTCTCATTCCTACGCCTGACTGCCTATACTAAGCTTCCCTTTCCGCCCTGCATTGTTGCCATCCAATGATGCTGTGTAATATTCAATGGCGATTCCATCCAACATACCATACCCCCATACCCATTAGCTCCTTCGAACCTCTCCACCACCATCACCACCCACCCCTCCCTCACTACCCATACCCGCACCAGCACTCCCTAATCTAAGACTCAACACATCAACACTTAACCCCGTCATCCCCGCCGCCTTCCTCACTTTCCTCCACTCACTTCCACTAATAATCTCCCACACCCCATCGTCTCCCCAGAACACGGTCCCCACACCAGTCACACGAATATCTTGTGGTAATTCCAGCTCCACTGGACCGTGTATTGGTGAGGTAGATGGGTTGATGATGCTGAGGAGTATCTCTCCTGCCCCAGCCACGTTGTCGTCTGTTTAGTGGTCTCTTTGGTGCGGGAGCTAGAGTATTGCGTCTACACCCGCTCCGTCCCCTCCTCCTTCCCTTTCTCAACCCTTCCCATTCCCACGATCACCCTCTTCCTCTGCTAACTTCGCGGCGTCCCTGATCCCCACCCTCTTAGCTCCCAATACCCACCTTATCAACCCCTCCTCCCCCTCCCCCTCCCCCTTCCCCCTTCTCCCCCATCATTTCCCAAAATCATCCGTCCCAACCACCCCATCCCTTCTCGTATTGTACAGTAGTCGGCCACGTCCAAGTAACCACCCTCGTAGCCCCCGCGTTTATGGACAGCATGATTTCTTCGGCGGCGGTGGCGGCGCGTGTCCAGAATTGGGAGGAGCCGAAGGCTTGGGGGACTGCCCAAATTGGTTTGGGGGGTGTCCTAGCTGAGTCTGGGGAGGGTTTCAGAGGGAGTGCTATAGAGATGAGGAGGGCAGTGGAGGGAGAAGGAGGGAAGAGGTGAGGGAGGGAGGAGGAGGAAGGGAGGAAAGGGGAGAGGAAAGGGAGGGAAGGGAAGGGAAGAGGTGGGGTAGGGCGAGAAAACATATAGTTTATTCCACTAAAACATAGCAAATTGCCTAGGCATATTGAGGATAGGTAGGAAAGAAGAGGAGGAGAAGTAGTTGTCGCAGCCGTAGTCGCCGTAGGTAGTGTTGGCAGATATATATTATTTCAATGTTGACCTAGCCCCTCTCTCTCCTTCCAGATGATTATTTAATGGCACTAATATTAAAGATCTCCTAGACTAAGTTGCTGCATCTCTGGTAGATTGTTATCATCCATGTCTTTAAGAATTTCCGACAGCCCGCCCAAAGCATGAATCTGATGCATCGAATTCTCAGCAGGATACCACATACGATATCCATCCCCAACTTCGACAAGGTGTGCTGTGCCGTCTTTTCTGCTGAGAATAAATGGTATCGCATGAGGATCTGTATCCTCTAGAAGCCATTCCTCACTTATGATGGGCAGGTCAGTATCACGTTGCTCCCAACCTTCAGGTACGTCGTGCTCAGCGATAGTGGGGCGGCCACCAAGCATGTCGATTCTACCGTTCCTTGTTACCTGCAGGCCAGATAGAGACGGCGCGCTTTCTAGCTTTAGCCAATTCTCTTTATTCTCCATATCTGGGGATACGATTTCGAGGAGCACCTCGGGCTCCATGCGGTAGATGTAGTATTTTGAGCCGCAGAGGAAGAAATTCATATCTTCGCCACCAGCTTTAGCCATGAAGGCGAGAATTGGTTGATAATCTTGCAGATCATATTCTCTCAAGCTGTAACACCCTTCATCTGCTACAACCCATTGGGGCTCTGATATCCAGTTTTTAGGCTTGTACTGTGGTGGACAGGGGATGACGTCGTCTTCGGTGGCCTCCAAACCCAACCATGGTCTGATCTCGCGGGTACTTGGTAGCTGGCCCATGTCTAAGGCGCGATAGAGACCGATGAGACTGTAAGGCGTCTCGATGTAGCGAAGTTTGCGGCTGTCTGCATGCCAAAAGAAAAGCCGATTGTGGTGGTTGGAGATCAAGAAGATGTTATCGCCATTATACTTGAGATGGACAGCTTTGCTGCTGATAGTATACTGCCCTTCCACGACCGGCAACTCCTGTGCTGCTGCTGCCTTGATCATAGCCTCCTCATTACTCCATCTAGGAGGAGCATTGCTGGTATCGTTTCGGAGCTCAGAAATGACATCGAGACTAGGCTTGGAGGGGCTGGTGGGCCGAATCGCGGAAGAGAAGGATGTGGTCCTTGATGATGGTGGGAAGGGCGGTGCAAGCGAGCTTACGCTGGAGCTCATCGACAGCGCACCCCAGAGACTTGAATCTGACGAGCTCGACGATTCCTCGGAGCTGGATTGACGGTTTCGGCGACTTGAACCAGCAGATTTGCCTTTCTCAGCAGCTTGCTCGCGTGTTTGATCAGCCATGATAGCTGTAGGGGGCGGGGTGCGTAGTGTCACTGAGAGCGCGTGCAAAAAGGGGAGCTCCCTGTCGCAGAGTAGATGACTGAAGTTGGTGGTCCAGAAGGCAGATCGCATGCGCAATATGATCACTCGTGACTCAAATGACTCATGATGCGAAATGAAGGTTTGTGCGACCCAAATTACAGAGTTTCCACGGGGGCTTTCAGATCCTCTGTCTCCGCCAAAGCGACTACAATACCCCCTAAAACAGCCCGCGAGAAAAGCGTTATATATACTATAATCTTGAAAATAGCTATAAAATGGTCTTACTTAATATCATTATTTAAAAGAATAAAATACTATTTAAATTCTTTTAATAATATAATATAAACTTAATTATAATTTAAATAAAAAATTAATAGAAATTTATAAAAATATTTTATTTTCTAAATTATAAAATATTAAGTATATTAAGTATATTATTTATAAGAAAGTAATATCTTATTATAAGATAAATTAAATAATATATAATTTATATATATATTATTTAATATTAACTTTTATAAATATTAATATTTTTTAATATTTTATAAAATAAATTCTATAAATATATAAATTATAAATTTATTCTATATAAAATTATTATAAAAATCTATATATAATAATATAAATAATTTTATAATCTTATTAAATAATAATATTATACTAGACTCAAGTTAATAAATAAACGTCTTCTAATTAATTAAGATTATTTTAAAACTTTTAATTTTATTTATTATATTATAATTTATTTAAAGATAATAATAAAATATCTTTAAAATTAAAAAAAAAATTTACTTAATTATATTATTATATTTAGACTAGTAACCTTTTCTTCTAAACTAGTCTTAGTATTATTATTATTTTTATTACTTTTTAAAAATTTATTAATAATTTCTTTTTTTTCTCTTTCTTTTCTTTCTTTAATTTTTTTTTACTTTTTTTACTTTTTTAATTTACTTCTTTAATATAGTAAAAAAATGTCTAAGATTAGATTTAATTTAAATAGAGTTTTAAATTAAAAAAAATATACTTATTTAAAATAATATTTATTACTTTCTTTTTTAAGATATTTTTTAAAAAAAAATAGTTTTCTAAAGAAATATATTAAGATATAAGTTTATAGTTAAAGATTATTTTATATATAATAGATTTTATTACTTAAGTATATTAATATATATTTATAAACTAACTTTATAAGGTTTATAATTTTATTTTAAGCTTTTTTTTAAGTTATTTATAAAATATTAATTTTTTTTTCTTTTTTAAGATAAATCTTTATTAGATATAATAATTAAAGTAGTTACTACTTTTTATTAAACCTATTAAATTAAATAGTAGTCTAAAGCTAAATTTAATTTTATAGTATAGTTAATAAATTAATTTTTTTAAGTAGTTTTATAAACTATTTTAAATTTTAAAAAATTAAAAAAGATAATACTTTTCTTTTAATACTATATTAATATATTCTAGTCTTAATCTATTTAACTTTTTATCTATATGTTAATATTACTAATCTTTATTAATACTAATCTAAAGAATTATATAGATCTTATTTAATAGCTATTAGAATATAAAGTTTTATTTAAATATATTAAAAATCTTTTATATTATAAAATAACTTTTTTAAATATTAAAGCTAAGTAAAGAGAATTTTCTTAAGAATTACTTTTTACTTTAAAATCTATAATAAAAAGAATTAAATTTACTATAAATATAGTTATTAAATTCTTATATTTAGTCTTTAATATAAATACTTATAAAATTATCTATTAAGTAAGAAGTCTTATAATAACTTATAAAGAGAAGTATAGAGTTCTTAATATTATAGTAAAATATATTAAAATTTAATAAATTGTTATTAAATAAGATTTATTATTAATATATAGCTTTGAGAAGAAGGGAAGTATTTAAGAAAAAGATTATAAAGTTTTTTTATAATAACTATTCTATATTTATCTTTCTATATTCTTTATATATATTTTTTAGATATTAAATTCTACACTCTCGCTATATAGTAGGTCGCGTTAAAGACTCTATATAAGTTGGCTAGAGTAGTCAATTTTAACTGATTTAAGAGTCTTTACGCTACGAGAGTTGAACGACAAAAATTTACTAGTGAAAGGCGTAAAGAACACGCATTATTGTTTTCTTTCCTAAGAAAGCAGATACTTCAAACACCCCAAGACCTCGCATTCACCAAATTCTTTCAGCTCTGGAGTACTATTGTATCGCGCCTTGATGTTTCTTCTCCGCTAGCCGACTCATCTCCTTTCCCTTCCCTCCGCAATCTCCTACACCCTCCTCTTCCTGGCCCAAAACCGAGCACGCTACGGCAAACGAGTCCTATCCAAAGGGAAGGTCTACTCCGACTTCATCAACGGCGATTACATCGCCCCTAGGGCCGCCTCCGTCCTGGGTTGCGTAGACCGATTCTAATACCGCAACTCTGTCAACCCGATCCGTACGCCCTTGTCCCGGCAAAACGAGCTGCTCGATCCAAAGATCCTCATAACGCTCAAAGTGAACAAAAACCAAGTAAGGACCATCGTCGCCTTCCGCAAATCGCTCGGCAGCATTCTGACCTATTCGAGTGTATATTCCTGCCCAAGAACCTTAGGACGGCAACTCCACTGTTTACCAACTTCAAAAAAATTAGGTCCGCGGCGGGGTACATATTTTTCTCGATCTTTGGGCTCGCCCTGATATTGCTTATCTGTGCCCTTTCCTCAACACTGTAGCCCTAGCCCTCAATACCGTCGTCGGAAGCCTGATGCGACGGCTTGTATGAAACGACTACAAGCGCATCTCGTAGCTACAGATGGGAAATTGAAGCTTCTACTGTTGGCATTTTAGGGGGCGGGGCAGGGGTTTTGGACCAGAGGCGCGAAGTCAGTATCGGTCACTAAGAGGAGCAAGACAACTGATTTGCAGCCTGGAAATGGGGTTTGGGCGGACGAGAGAAAGGTAGGTAGGATTGAAGCTATGGTGCATGATGTGTCAAGTGAGCTGTATGTAGCTTAGTATCATTTGTTGCCTTGCGTTGGGGACAGACCGCCTTGGAGAATCTTCTGAGGCGCTATCCTCCTTGTATCGTGCCTTGCCAATCGCTTTTCGCTCTCCATTGCCTACCTAGGGCTCTATGTCTTCCTGCTTTCCTTGCGAACGCGCTCCTTGTGTTCTGTTTTATTTTCGCCTCGCTTTGCGCGCTTTGTCGTGCTCCCCATCGTCCTACATATGTTCGTCAGCATGGTCCTGACTCTCGCATCGCCCTCCGCAAACTTTTAATTGTAATCGAATGCTCTCCGATGCAGCTCCCCTCATGGTCACTCTTGCCCTTTCTCCGTTGGCATTGCTTACAATTGAATTGACTCCAAAAACGGTCTAGTGCGAAGACAGGAGTAAGGTTTGATCTTGACCCACTTCGGGTTAGCTCCCGCTCTTGACGGAATTGTTTCCGCGTTGTTTCCTTGTGTCACTTGAGAAATTGTTCCTTCACATCTTTCACCCTTCCATCAACCACTTACCTCCATCATTTCATTTCCTTCATCCTGAGACTCGACTGGCCATATGTCAGACCCAAATGCTTCTTACACCTAGCGTTCTGCCTCGCGATCGCAAACGCCGGCGCGTGAGTAGCAGCTCTTCAATATCTGAAAACACACGCGTAGGCTGCTATCCTCCAAACTCTTGGGACAAGCTATCCAAATTCTACCTTTCCTCACATGCGATTGAAGAACATAACCGTCGGATTCGCTACTTCGATTCCCTTTCCGCCACGTCGCAATCGCCACCGCTGAGTACTTCACTACAAAGCAGCACCCTTATAAAGTTTGCCAGGCACGGGGGCCCTGATCTTAGCGACATACGAGGAGTGAGTTCATTGTACTGCCAAAGCATATGTCTTGCTGATGTTGAAACAGTACCCAGACGTCTGCCCGTCGGATTTATCAGAACGCTCGATGGCCCCAAGGAACTCAAATGACGAAGACTAAGGGGTGAAGCGAAAGCGTTCGTTTGATCCTAAATCTCACAAATCATCCGCCTACGATCCGCATTTCGAGGACATTCTAATCGAGAACGATATCTATCTATCTAGATATCCCTGCGGTAGTGCTGCGCACGGTTGCTCAGGTTTCGCAGAGGATATAAAAAATATCTTAAAGAAGCTAAAAGCTCTATGTCGTTTTTTCTCCCCTACTTAATTCATAGATAAGATGTTCCGAGAATAGGAGTGTATACATGTCCACGCCGAGTCTAAAGACAAGGTTGTAAGCAACTCGTTCCCAATTATTAAAGGAAAAATAGATATCCCTTATAAATCAAATATCCGTTTTAATAACCTAAAACCTTTTGTTCCTAAAGATAACCTTACTACGGCGCAACCAGACTTCTAGGATAGAAATCCAAAAACTCAGCTAAATAAGACTATTCGCAATGCTTTAAATGGGTATATCGTGCTAATAACTAAGTTAAAAACGCATTCCTACTAAATTTCTTTGCAGAGGGCAAAGGGCCTGATGGCAATTCTAACGTATATAGACGTCCATCTACTTATGATGGCGTCTTAGGTGAGAGAGGGATTAATGCGCTGATCCGCTATACCGACCCGAAAGGACACAGCGACAAGAAGGCTCGAACTTTTGTTTGCTCTTTTCATAGAAGAGAAGGCATCCTTGTCATCAACTGCGTTCACCGTGCCGAACTCTCTGGATCAAAGAACAAATCTCAGGCTTCACATATTCATATACAGCAGCTACGAGGAGTTGTCTTGACTGATAGTGCTGATTCTTTCCGCAAGGGAGTGACAATGTTCCGGAACGCGCGGGCTTTGGCAAAACACTACCGAGACGATTTGATCGGAAAGGCCAATCAGACACATGCTAATCGGTCGCACAAAGGGGGTCTGCTTTCTGCGCAGCACCCGAACTCCGCATCTTTTGACTCGAGTACGAGCGGCTCCAGCAACGCTACGATGACGGACCATCTTTCTCCAGATTACGATGCGAGAATAGAGGCAGAGAAGAATGCGAGGAAGAAGGCGCGGATTGAACAACCCCACGAGGGGAAATAATGTGCTGGAGAAAAAGTTCGTTGCTGCTACGTGATCAGCGATAAGACAAAGGCGATGGTGAAATGTTTGCGAGCGCGTGCGTGCAAGTCTTGATTAACAGACGGATTAGTACGGCATAACAGAATTAGTGTTCCTTTTGAGCGAGGAGTATCGATGCTTTCTCGAGGGAACGGCTGTGTTGAGCATCGAGATACCCTATCTTTAGAGTAAGCATCTTTAGAAGTCTAGAATAGACAAAATCAACTAGCCTAGAGCTTTTCAACTTCCCTTTCAACCTGATCTATGCTCCATCTTCTTCTCCTGGAACTCCAAATTAAGTCATTATGGCTTCCACAGCCCACACTCAAGACCTACACAAAGTACGCAGAACAGCAATTTCAGTTGCAATAAACATAGACCTTCCTGACCTTGCCTCCCCTTATCATCAGCAACCCCCCGATCCTCGCGAAATTCCAATTCGAAGCCGGCTAAGACAAGCGGAGTCACAATTCTATGCGCAAGGTCCGTCTCATTGGATGAATAGCCTACCTGTTTTGCGAAGCGAGCGGGAAGCACCTGGAGCACCCTGTGTTCAGTCCACAGCATTGAAGGAACCACTTTGCCCGACGTGACAGAGCGGAGACTGTCATAGTATGAGAGGTACAAAGCGGTTAGAGGTTGACGCCGCAGTAGACGTAGTCAATGCTGAAGATGACGGGTTGCGAAACTTGCTGACCGAAGCCCGCTATTTCGGTCTTCTGACATGCGAGTATCTGCGTCACTGTTTGTTAGGAGAACGTTAGGCGAGCGTTATCATCGAGCGATGCAAAAGATTTTTCTTTGGGCTGTGGTGGAAGCTGGATGGCTGCTGTGAATTAGGTAATTTCAGTGGGACAAGAGGATACCATAAAGCTTGTGGAAGTAAGAGCTTCAAAGAAAGTCAGACGTCTAGAGGTGTGCGCAAGCTGCTCGACGAGAAAGCCGGGGAGAAGATGGGGTAGCTGTGCGGTCGCTGAAATGCTGAAAGGGTAGTCGGGAGAGAGCAGAGACATTTCAGGGTGGGTAGATAGGTGACGGAGGTGGTGCAAGTTTCTCTGTCGGAAATGGACCATCTTTGCAAAGTAATATAAGGTGGAAGGAATGAAGAACGATGTGGTCGCGTTATAGATAGGCGAAAAGAAGGGGATGGGAAGAGGTGGGGGAAAGGAGCTTGACTTGAAACAGAAATCTATTCATGTATGCTATGCCGATCAACGAGTATAGGTAGTTAGTGCTAAAATTGTCGATCCTCGTCCTGCGTCCTGTGCTGTCTGTGCTGTAGTGTGCTGCTGTGGAGTATTTTCAAATGATTGAGACTAAGACAATGTGATAGGGTGGAAGATTGCTGGCGAAATGGGAGGCTTAGGCCGTATCGATGGTTGTAGAACAGGCAAATTGAATGTAATGAAATGTGTGTTTTTACCATGGAATTTCAGGCTCCATAGTATCCGGAGAACTCGCTTCTGGTATCCTGTGAATATCGGAAGCTTGTTGAGAGAATGTCGTAGGGGGTGGCATAAGAATAGTGTTTTTGAAACGTGACAATCACTCCCTAGTACAGGATGCTGATGCCTTGATAACATAGTTTCGAAGATTGAGACTCCTTAATGTGCTTGTGAAATCAAGTCGCCGGTTCTGGAAGCATGTTCACGGACCTCAGTTCCCTTTCCGACGACGGCCACCTTTACGGCCACCGCCACGACCACCCCCACGGCTATCGCTTACTGGATCTAGAGCTCCAGACACAGCGGGTGTCACAGGAAGTGCCGGATTAGTGACCGTATTGCTATGGGGACTTGCATCATTGGGTACCGAAGTAGAAGGAATTTGAAAACTAGACGGAGCACTGACACCAGTTAACGGGGCCTCGCTTTCATGGCGATCTTCTTCTTGTGGAGGTTCTGTCATGACTTCGTCTTCTTCCCCTCCTTCAGACGCACTCACGTGGGTGAGTTGGTCACTTTCGTGGGTGAGCTGGTCACTCTCGTGGGTGAGTTGGTCACTCTCGTGGGTGAGTTGGTCGTCAAATGATGCTATAGTAGTGGCGAAAGACACCTGTTGGGGATTGAATTGAAAGCTTTCCGGTCCTTGTACTGGGGCAGGCGTCAGTGCCAGTTGTGGCACTCCTGCTTGGGTTCGATTCCTAAGGTGGCGAAAGCTCTGAGTCATATCAACGTCTTTCGCCGCTTCTCGATAACTATTGATGAACTGCGTTAGAATATAGCGCTCCAAATGGGGGATTTGATGCAGGCAAGGCTGATAGAGCTGCAGAAGGACTTCAACGGGCGGATTTGGTAAGGATAGCTCAAACATCAGTTGGCTTTGTAAGAGTTTCCAGATCGGTTCATCCGCATAGTTAGGAAGGTCTTCACGAAGGTTGCTATGGATGAGCTGGAAGCATTCTGGTATCAGAACGTCTAGAGTTGGCTCTCGCTGAGACACCTTTTTGAACAGGTGCTTCAGCGCGCTATAGATGTCCTGACTCATGTCAAACTGGATGTCGAGTTTGATGCAGAGGACCCAAGTGCTGCATAGAATGACACATTGTCGCTGTGAAGCCTCATGCTCGTTGCTCGGTTTCTTAGCCCCATACTTGTAGAAGTCTTCGGCTAAATTTTCGCTGATACTGATCCGTTTTTGCGTTATCCATTCTTGGAAAACATCCCAGACTGCTGGATTGATGTCCGGCAATTTGACTTGATGGCGGTCGGTGGATAGGTACTGGCGGTATTTGGGTGCAAAGGCGTCCAAACGCTTGATGGTAGAAGAAAAAATGGTCGGTCCCGGCCCCAAAAGGATCTGGATTGGAGCCCCGGTTTTGGTACTGTTGATATCATGTCAGTGGAAGTATGTCATACTAAGTCGTTGGCACCATACCGATTCTTCGCCTCTCTGTGGCTCTCGAATTGTTGTGGTGGTGATTCAGGGCGGTCGGGTGATAGACGCCCAGAGTAGAATGGGTTTTTTATGATGTTCATATCGAAGTATACTAGTAATGTGTAAGTGGACTTTGTAAGTTTTCGTGTCAAATGACCGGATTCAAGGTTATGGTTGAATGGTTCAAGGTGCTAGGTCGTACGGAATGTAAGGAGTATGTATGTGCAATGTTCATGTTGGTCAAATGAAGTTGAGGGACTTGTCTTCTTTTATGGCGAACCTGATGAGCATGGACATTTCTCGAAGATACTGGACTCACATGCTATGCTGGTAACCGATGTTTGTTGAGCTACTATGACGCGTCCGAAATCAGGCAAGTTTGACACATATGTATAAACACAAACGCCTGACATGAAGACGGATTACACCTGGGCAATTCGGAACGTTTGCGCCGCCTAGCGCCTACGCCTTGTCCGACCTACAGTGATGTTTTCCCATGCTCATCCATAGTCGAGTTTGGAACTATGGACTATATTCTTTCTATCAACTTGCTATACTATAGGCTTTTTTAGCAAATTTAATTGTAAGCAATTAAGTATTTTAAGGATTTCTATTTTAAAGTAGTCTCTTATTATTTTACTTAAATTAAAAATAATAATTACTTTAAATTCTTTAAAATAAAAAGTAGTTCTCTCTAAGTTAATAAAAAAAATTTATTTTCTAATTAAGATAGAGTTTATTCTCTAGGTCAATTCTTTTTATCTTTTCTAAGCCTTAGAAACTAGTTTCTACTACTATATAAACTCTTAAAAAAGACTATAATAAAAAAGTTTTTATTTCTCTTTTTATTTTTTAAAATCCTAATTATATTAACTAAAGAAAACTATTCTTTAATAACTTTATAATTAATTCTATATTTTAAAAAAAACTAGTATTAATTAAATATATAACTTAATTAAATATTTCTTAATATAGTTATAGATAAATAAATAAAAAAATAGTTTTTAATAAAGAAATAAAGTCTTTATAATAAAATTTATTATTAAATATTTTTAAAGTATATAAAACTATTATATATTAAGAATTATTATAAAATAAAAAGTTATTTATATAAAATTCTTTATATTTACTTTTATTTTATTTTTAAAAGACTTATTAGTAGTTTAATTAAATTCTAACTTAGGTAATAATATAATTAAATTTTTTTTAGAATTATTAATAATAAAACTAAGTTGAATTTTAACTAATATAAAATAATTTAAAAAATTAATAAATAATAAAGTTATTATACTTAACTACTTTATTTCTAAGTAAATTATAATACTTAAGTTTTTAAGTTATATTTATTTATTCTAACTATTTTATCTTTAATAAAGTATATAATTTAAAAAAACTAAATATATATAAGTAATTATTATATACTTTAAAATTATTATTATTATAATATTAAGAAAAATATTAAATTTTTTAACTATATTATATATTTAAAGAAAATTTTAATTTATACAAATTATATAATTTAATAAAGCTTTTATTATTTATAATTAAGTTATTTAATAAGAGATTTTTTATTTCTAAATAATTATTAAATTATAAAATAATTAAAAAGTAAAAAATATAAATTTTTTAATAAAAAAGAAATTTTTATAGTAAATATAATAATAAAAACTATAGAAGATTTATTATATAAATATTTAAGATTATAAAATTAAAATTAAAATTATAAAAGTTTTTTTTATAATAAAATATTTAAATTAATTTTTATATAAAATATATACTAAAATTTTTATTAAAATAACTATTAATATATAAAGTTAATATACTTTAATATATTTAACTTTATATATAATTTCTATACTTATTTTCTTATTATTAAAATCTATTTAATATTAAATTCTTTTTTTAACTTTTTTTATCTTTATAATTAAAGTTATAATAAACCTATTTTATTTCTTATAAAAAAGTATTTAAGTATATTAGAAGAACTTAAACATTTAAAAAGAAAATATATTATCTTTTCCTTAAGAATTAAAAAACTATAATCTAAATAAATTTAAAGAAAATTAATTTTTAATTTTAAAGAAATTATATTATATTAGTTTCTTTATAAAAATAGTTATTACTTTCTAATTATTAATATATTAAATTTTTATTAAGTCTTTCTAAAATATAATATTATAATTTTTTAAAAATTTTTTATATATATTAAAATTTTATTTAATTTATATTATTTAAGAAGTTTAAATTCTATTATTTTCTTTTAAATAATAATAGTAATTAAACCTATTTAATAATTATTTATAAAATTTAAGTATATAAAATAGTATTTATATAGGCTACTTTTAGGGGTACCCTAGTCGCTTTAGCGGAGATAGAGGATCTAAAAGCCACCCTTAGCAACTTAGTAATTTATATTACATAAACCTTTATTTCGCTTTATAAGTTATAAGTAATTATATTATATATATAATCTATACCTTCTAAACTACTAACTTTAGTTATCTACTCTATAATAGGAAGCTCACTTTTGTTTACACTTTTAATATTACTAAAGAATTTCTATATTTATACTCTACTTTTTATCTATAACTATTATAGCTAATTAAATATATAAGTAAGCTACTAAGAAAAGTATATCTACTAGTTTAAATTACTAAAATTACTAGTTTAGTTCTAAAAAATTATTAAGTTTATTAGATTTAAGTTTTTAAAATATATTATTAATAAGTTTTAGTTTAAGTTTACTTATATAACTTTTTTTATTATTATTAAAAATTATATCCTTCTTTTCCGCGATTTCGCCTATTAGCCCCTTTAAACTTAGTTTTAATATTATTTCTAAGCTTTAAAATAATATTAATAATATTTTTTTTAAATAAAGTAATAAAAAGGCTATAATTAAAGTAATAGTAATATAGGAGTTATTAATTATAAAAAAGCAATATATTATTAATAGTAAAACTATTTATCTTAAATATAATAATAATAATATTTTTTTAATTTTTAATTATTATAATTAGCTTTTTTTTAGTATATAAATAGCTATAAACTTTATTATATTAAATTACTATATAGTTTTATTAATTTTTATTATATTTTAGATATAAGTTAGCTACTAATTATTTATAAAATTAAATTATAATTAAATTTAGAAACTATTAAAAAAGATATTATTTTTTATTTATTATAATATAAGCTTAAAAACTAGATATTAAAGTTTTAATAAGTTATAGTAAATAAAAAATATTATATTGTAAAAAAATATAATTTATAAAATTATTAACTAATTTTCACTTTTATAGCTAAAGCTAATAGTAAAAATATAAATTTCTTTTCTTATAGTTTAAAATATTATATCTATTATATAAAGCCTAAAATACTTTTTAAAATTATATCTCTAAATATAAAAAATAAAAAAAATTAACTTAAGCTAAAAAATACATTATATTTATTTAATTTATAAATAATAAAAAATAATAAAATTAATATATTTAATAGCTACTTTATTCTTACTAAGTATAATATACTTAAAAGTTAAAAGTAATATAATATTAACTTACTTATTATAAGTAAAAAATAGCTTTTAAAAAATATAAATTTTTATATAATATTATTTATTTTTAATAGAAAAGATAATAGAGTATATTTTATTAAAATTATAAATAAATATTATTTATAGTATTCTACTAAGGATTTAATATATTAAATTTATATTTTAAGTAGGCTATTGGAGATTTTTAGGGATATAAATAATAATAATTTACTAGAAATATAGTATTTTAGTCTAGGAGATCTATAATATTAATACGATTAAATAACTATCTAGAAGCAGAGAGAGGTGCTAGGTCAATACTAAAATAATATATATCTGCGTGTGAGGCAATACACAATAATTTGATTTTATTGTCAGCTAGTCTGAGACTCGCAATGAAAATCCACCTGACATGCTAGCATTGACATCGAGCTTGAGGATAGTGTTAACGATCCATAGAGAGAGAGTCAGCGCCAAGTCATCGCTGCAGCTGGTATCCCTAGCATCGCTAAACTTCGAGTTTGTACGGTTTTCACATACAAGGGTATTAGGTTGCCTTGCCTCAGAGCGAGTTGCGATGATGATGATCTGTTCAGTACGTCGTTTCCTTCCTTTCTTTCTCAGCCTTTAAGTAATCTATTTATATAGCCTCCTTTGAGTTTCGCTGCATGAAAAGAAGATGTGCAAGTAAAGGCTTTCAATCTTAATGATCGTGATAAATAGCTTCCTTAGACCCCACAGTTCGGCTTTGTCAATCGGTCATCACTGCAATGACTCCAAATCCAGACAACCTAATTCCTATGATCAATGATACTAGCCCTCCATTTGTTCCCGTTACGATGACCAAATTCGAAAGAAGTGTACGTGGAAGCAATGTGGGCTGATCGGAGCTTAGGGTTTCCTGTGAGACAATTGATCTATAATTCAGTAAGTTTTGAGAAGTCAAATCGCTATTGTATTTCGTTGTCGCCAGTGAAGTTAGTTGGCTTGCTAAAGATTATCTTGCACAAAGAAGGAGCACTCTGACTATGACGCAATATACCCCTGGAGAATAAGATAATGTTACGACTCTTCGCGGTGAGAGAATCTGTTAACATACAATGTATGATCGTGGCTTTCCTCTATGCAACAATAGCGCCACCCGTAGCACCAACAATCCTCAGATAACCTGTTGCTATCAAGTCTTCAGGATCCTCTTTGTGTTGTTCCACATCGTAGTCATAAAACGCAAACATGAATTCCTGTATCTGAAATTGTGCAGCAAGCTTAGCGAATCCCGTCATCAAGACTTTGAATTCTTGATAGTCCATGCGAATTATGGCTGGGGACAGATGAAACTCCACTCCTCTATTCACGTATGCGTAGCCTTCTCTCTTGATAGGGAGAACGTCGATGGGTTCGTCCAGGGCGGGTTTTTGGTTAAGCACATCTTCCACTAGCTGCTCAAACATCCATGTTTGTGCACTTGTGATGGCTAGAAGGAGCTCTTCGTACGGTATTGGGCGGCCATAGTTGTATACGTGATAGTGATCATTGTCTGTCGTATCTTGTCGATAATCAGGTGGCAGCGGGAAGCGCGCGTTGTCTGGTCTGAAGCCAAATTCACTCGAGTTAGTGTTTCTCTAAAGTAGTAACATGAGACGAGAGAAATGCCATATGATGAGCTTCTGAACATTATTTGAGTTGATGGATACCTACATAAGATCAAAAGTAACAGACGCATTCCGAGAGTCGTCCGCTGGAGCTCGAGGCCGAATGCCGCTGGTTTGACGAGGGTGATATCTTACTGGGACGTATGCTTCGCTGGAGTGCAGAAGCAAATACAATGCTACGAGAAAAACAGCGGAGAAAGTAGGCTGCATTTTTGCTTGAGTGAGATATATATGGCTTTGGTTAGACCGAGAATACAGAAGTCTGTAGGACTTAGATGCGCCTTTATATCCACGGGGACCTCGAAGTAGGGCTGGATGTTCCATACTTCGTGTTTATTCACAGCTTTGACTTTCGTCACCTAAAGCAGTCCTATATTTAACGCAATGTCTTAATGTCTTAGCATGTCTCCGACAGTAGACTGTCTTACCTAAATGCGCCTGTACCTCAATTCCGAGGGCTTGGAGACAATGCTCTTGAGCTGAAAGCCCCGACGCGCGTTCTTGGATGTTATAATGAGACCGGAAGCTCTTGAGCCCGGCAAGACAGGTTGTTAAAGATCGCTCGCTAGTGGCTGAAAGGACAGGGGATACGGGCTGTTATTTCTATCGCCGAACCACAAACTTCCTCGATGTGTATTCTCGCAAATAAAGACAACTATACCTCTTACATTTGATCATGTGAAGACCCATCAGGCTATGTCATCCACAGGTCTCAAAGATTCCATCATGAGCTTTATATAACAGCGATAGCTTTTGCATTTCTAGCTGCAACCGACGTGCGCGCCGAATCTTGCGCAGGGAGCTCCAATGGCTGTCCATCTCCTGTAGTAATACGATCCGTCGGCATGAATCAAAAATGCCCCCCATACTCTCATTTTGACCGATCTGGCGATATAGAAGTCAACTCGCCAAAAGAACACGTGTTCATGTCTGAACCTGGCACAGATGTTCGCAGCTTGGCTTCAAACCCTGCAATTGGCCTAATGTGACCGCAACTTGGACAGGTCGAGTAACGAACGAGCGAGGGTAGTATCCGCTCCGCGCTGTGTCGAGACCTCCATATCCAATCCCTGCAGAGGAACTTGTGTGTGCTGCTTTTTGGCGCAAAAATTCATGAAGAGTCTCGCCCACAGTGAGTGCGTCGATTGAGGATGCATTGAATTCGGACGATCAGGGAAAGCAGCCCGCTCGACTGCCGTACGCACCCGTGGTAGTGAAGGCGAGATCAGCCTCCAAGAAAACCCCCAAAACGACGGAGAACGAACTCTGGCATCAATTCAGGATCTGAAGAAGGCGACCCCAGGGTTGCTCAAAAAGCTCAGATCTATAGCACTTAGCATGTTACGTCTTCGCTCCAGCATGTGGTTACAAAACTTGTCTGCCATTGTCCGGTAAGCTTCTAACCAAGGTTCGCGGCGCATATAGCGCATGAAATGCCCAGACAGATTAAAAATTACATAGCCATAGCCTAGACAATGGTCGCGTACTAGGTGGATGCAAGTTTCGTAGTAAGACATGGTACGCTTGATGCGAGCGCAATGACTATTAGCGAGACTTTCGTTCTAGAGAGAAAGTTGACACTCCATAAGAGTAAATTTCAAAGACGCAGTGATGCCACTGCAGATCAGGATCGAACCGCATGAGACTATCATAGATTGCGACGTTAAGGACGACACAAGAAAGAGGAAAATTGAAACGGGCGTTCGCTGCTTTGCACGCAATATCTTATTAGAGTGATCTTTCTGGGTTGCTGATGCAGAGCAATGCGGATTTGGTGACCGGCTCCATTTAGGGACTACCTACCTGACTCTACAGCGTACTTGGGATGGGCGGAACAACAGTAGTCCTTGTTGCATGTCAAGATACTAGGCGCTACTCTAACGCTTATGACTCTCAGCCAGCCATGGAAGGCCATAGAGTTGAGACACGATCAGAAAAATGGGTGAGATATAGAGTCAGTTCAGCACCTACGTGAGGTATCATTCGAGTCGAAGATCGAGTTGAAGCCATCGTGTCTTGGGATCGTACTTTTCAGCTGCTATAACAATGCATAAAGCACACTGCGTGGCATCGATCCCACGGTTCCGTCAGATTAGCAATCCATTGCCATCTGTACAGGCAATGCTAGCGAATCGGTCGTGGGACCCTATTGCACAATAGGTATAGTGATCTGTCTCTGTCCATTCCAACCCTAGATATCCCTCCCATCCTCGCTCCAAGCATGCAGTAAGTGCCTAGCTCCTCCATCAAGCTCGGTATCAGCACCGAGTGTACTGAGCACACCACTGAGGAAGCTCAAGGGCTGCTTGCGAATTTGAGGGCGTACAAGATCCAGGATGCGGAGGAATGCGGCGACATTGACTTTGACGGGGTTAAGAGCTAAAATTCCATTTCACCGTAGTGTCTCGCCAACCGAGCCCATGGTTTTGCGCATTGCTGATGATATTCGACGAGATCGGTCATTCGATCGCGACTGACTCCCTCGGGATACATAATGGGGTAGAGAATATTATAAACCTTAGTTCGAGTGCTGACTTTACGGCGGATTTCAATACGACCTTGCGCCGCTATATTCTCATCAGTCAGTGTTGATCAGTCTAAACATCTCCCCAGACGTACCCTCGAGATAGGCAGCGACTTTATCGAAAGCGATCATGAGATCGACTAGAGACTTCCTGCGTAGATGAACGGACATTTCTTCTACACCCTTTGAAAATCGGCACTGCTCAAACGCACGAAAGAAGCCGAGAAACAATGCCCGATCAATGGAGATGTGTGCAGCGGGGCGTTGGGACGTTAAGAGGCCGCGCTGAGTTGCGCGACTTTGTCCATACCATGACTGCTCTTGCGAAACCCATTCTTGCGTGCGGTGTTGCAATTGTCGTAGCCATCTCGAGAATTGCCTTCAGCTCCTGGTAGGGAACTTGACGTGGAGTTCTCCCAATACTCGCGAATTCCTCGAGTGTGGCAAAGTTGATGAGTGGAAGTTTAGGTCTCTATTTGAGTTCGAGGGCTAGTCAGCGATCATCTATGTTATTCTTGAAGTTTGTTGATTCTGCTTCTGTACTTGCTGTTGTTTATCCAGTGGAGTTACATAGCAGATCGTCTAGTCTCACCTTTTCATCTGCGTCAGGTCGATCTTGCTGTTGCGTATCGGCTGGAGTAGAATTTATTAGCTTCCTCTATTTCAATTGTCTCGTCCCTCTCGAACCTTGATCTTCTGCGCTCCAATTATGAAATGACAAAGGTCACGAGCTCGTTGTATCATCATTCCAAGGCTCGAGCTCTTTGCGTTTGTTTGAGGAGGTAGTCATGCGACTATACGCATTTCTAAAACCATTATAATGGGCTGAGGATAAGGAGTAAACTTAAAGTCGCTCAGACTTAAATGTTAGCTTAAATTATTTGATACCTGTAAGAACCGCCTTTTACTTGCTGTCAAAAGTCTATATTTATGTCTATACGCTATCTAGTAGTAATTAAGCAATGTTCACGATGATATCGAAGAGAATGTGGTGTCCTAGCCTTATAAGAAAGGAAAGGTAGAAAGAAAGATGGTGAAGGCTTCCAAAGCACTAGGGCATGGCGACAAGATCTACACTAGAGCAAACTTTCCTCGTCATCGGAGTCCGCATGCCTTCCCTTTTCATTGACTTGCGTCGTAGTTGTAGTCGTGGGATGACCAGGAGCTGGTGCTGTAGCGGTAACAGGTTGACCAGAGCTTGAACCCGAAGGCTCAGCAGAACGAGAGGCAAGCTGCCGGCGATCCATTGCTCTTATGATCTCGTCAGCCATCTTCACGATCGCTCCGATCATAGACGCTACGTCGTCAACGTCGCCATTTTCAGCATGGTAGATGCGAGACCAGCGGTCAAAAAACCCCAAAATGTCGGCTCCTCCACACTTGCCGAGAGTGCCGTACGCCTCACGATCTGTGCTGAGGACGAAGTTGGGTCCCTTGACCATTATGATATTGGCCTCATCCTGTCTGACTCCGCCGACAATCAAACAATTCTGGATGGCGGTGGCGAAGGCCTTGTACAAAGCTTGACAAACCGAGATTTGATTCTGTGGACCACCAACGACGCGGTTCAGGTGAGTTTCGAACGTTTCCCAAAGGACCCCCATTGTAGTTTCGTCCTTTTCTTTTGCATAGGCGAATAATGGGATCCGTATCTCGACATTCTCGATCTTACCATCCCCCATTCCTGCGAAAGCGTCAGGAGCGTGTGGAAGTGCTTCTTTGACAACAAATGGGAAACCGCCCATCACCGAAATTGCGTCTCCCTTCCCGCCCACTGAGATGAACCTCTGGGCATCTTCCAAGGTACCGCAGAAGCGGAAATTGAATTTGGCCCTCAAAAGTGTGAGAACATCTACCCAGGCGAATTGAAACTTGGGCTCAACGAGTTTTTTTGTCCAGACTGCAGTGTCGGTCATGGTCAGGGGTGAAGATGGTCTAAAGAGAGTGATAAAAGTAATGATCGCTTCTGAGCCTTTCTCAAAAGTGGTCTTTTCTGGTGGATGTTCGAGCGTAGAGATTTGATTATGTGAAGTGTGATCTGATGAGAGAAATGGCGATGTTTGTGCTTCTTATATATTCGATTCTGGACATTACAGTGCTCAGCTGCGGGTCAAGTGTTTCCTCCTCGACAGCAAGAATCGCTGAATGACATTCGCCTAGCCAGCAAAATTTCCCGTATCACTAATCGGCGTGCTTCGTAAAATGTCCATGAAGGGCGTCAGATGAGGCCTGCTTGCCCTCGTCTGCGTCTTTCAGCTGCTAGCCATCAAGCCATAACCTCACGCCAATTTAGTTTACTAAACAAGGCTTGCATTAGTCTTGCCCAGGCCTAACCTGATAGGTCAATCACGATCACCCTGCATCGTCGTGGCTTGAGCATTTAGGGCTGAAAGATAGGTCTCGAACAAATCGATACGAGGTCGGCGCTTTCGTGGCTGGGGCTTGTGCAACGTCGGCCATGTCCGCTTAGAATACTTGCAAAGTAGGTGCATAATGTTGGACAATTATGTACGCGCCATTTCAGCCACCATGGGCGCGGTGCGACGACCTCCCTCTAAGCGAGCTTTGATCCATTTGACGTACGCGGCGCTGATAATACACGAGAAATTCCGAGAGTGCGAGCGGGCGGGCGTATAGAAAGCCTCCACATGACGCACTAGGAAATGGATGTGTTTCTGGCTTGACAAAGAGGATTACACAACGGTTGATACGTTAGTATCGAGATACTGTCAACGACCATCTCGAGTTCTGGAGGCTTCGCTAGCGTGACGTTTTTCAAGTCATAACCATAGTCAGCCTCCGTCTATGTCTTCTTCGAGGCCCATGGATTTTGAAAACTTGGAGCATTGGTCAATAGAGCTACAGAACAATGATCGAGTACTGGGAGAAAAGCTCAGCGAGATGTCTACCGTTAATATAGTGTTTCACTCGCAACCAACAAGACCTAAGATATGCGATCAAAAGACGAGGCGAAGGTAAAACGCAGTGCGGGAAGAACGTAGACGTGCCAAAATGATAAAGCGCACGGAACATTATATATGTACTTTTGTCACACCGAGTAGGACGGATTAAACTTCTAGTACATCTGACATAATATTCGACACCCTCTCTCAAGCAGCATGACTGAGACATCTCGTATCAACACCCATTCCGCCAACGAAACAATTGGTTGGAGCCGCAATTCCAACATTTTGCAGTGTGACCCGCGCTTGTTCAATTGGCGCCCAATAGCATGAAGCACATTAATCATGAGCTATCTAACATAGTTCGCGTTCCAAAGAGGAACCCTGCCAGCTTTGTAGTCATCATGTCCATATCTGTCTCATAATCCAGGTTTCACCCAAGGCAGAAGCTGCAGGCTTATTAAGACTTCTTCCACGACACTAACCTTTCTTTGTAGACTATAAACCCCTCAGCCGTTACTCATCTTAAGATTGTATAATACTGTACGGATCCAAGAATGCAGTGCTTGTACTTAAAATTGATGCTCTGTCATCTAACCTTTCTTCCTTGTCTCTATGCGAAATCACCCAATACTCTGGAAATAGAAGGCGTAAACTACAAGGAGGGCTTTCTAGTTCCCACCCTCGAAATCCATAACAAAGAATTAATAATAACGACCGGCCAACGCGACCTAATAATACTAAAAGGCGATAGCAGAGACTTACCTCCCGTTGGAGTTTATGTCCTCTGCAAACCACCGACGTACTAAGTCTAGTACTCCTAATTTAAATCCATCTAGGCTTTTAATCTCAAAGCATTTATACGTAAGTGCCTCTCACCAGCATCATACTCACGCTTGCTTGAAAGCGTTGATATATGCTTATCTATTGCTTGGTGTACTTTATTGACTATTTCTCTTCTAGTGTCTGCCGCCCCTCAAAAGGTACTCAAGTGAAGACTGCAGAGTTTTTCTTCCGAGCTGCACCCAGGAATGATGTGGCATACTACGATCTCGCGCAAGAAAATGCGACTGTTACAGATGCTCCACAGGGCTGGAAGGGCGATCCCTACAAGGCGTTACCTTGAGATGTTCAACGAGTTAAATTAATTATGTAATCGCTGTCGAGCACCTAGATGGGAGCAATCGAGAATCGTTGTCGGATTCTAATATATGTATTGTTTTTAGCAGCACCGATATCACAGTCCAGGTTGTCCATAGTGCCAAGTCAGCACACATCTGATGCTCACTGCGGCCTCAATCCAGTCGATAGTTTTGTGCTACTCTCCAGTCTTTTATGTATCAATGACATTCGTAAGAAGGTTGTATGGCCAGCAACAAATGCCATTCTCTTGAGTTAAATTACCCTTTCTCCTAGATGTTTTCAAGGTTGCCCGGGCGACCCACTTTCTTAGTGTGTTATTATTTGCCACTATGCAACCTTCCTTTAGCAGTCTCAACTTTAGCAATCTCTTTACCATTGCTAATACGAAATCAAGATAGCACACGATGCGGCTAACATAGCTTGTCTGTTGGCCGCTCAGATCTCATCTAGCTCTTTCAATATCGCTGCTTTCAATAAACAATTGTGGCCGTACAGTGCTCTAACAGTCTTCTCCAATAACACTAAGTACTTATACTCCAATCAGAAAGTACACTCTAGCATGTACAATTATGATGCGGCTGAAAAGGCCACCGGTGCTCTGGCTATATGTTCAAATGAGGCCAAGACTATGACCAGACGTTTCTTTCGATCCCTAAGTAACATCATAAGACTAGGAATTGGTCGGTACTCCAAATCGAAATATTGTCTTCTCTGTCGATACTACGTCCGGCGCTGTAGACTTCAAGTCCGCAAGATTCGTCCGCTGCGCCAGATACTGAGCACGACTAGACAGCATAAGTGACCTCAGACATGCAGTGCGTACGCGAGTACGAATATTGTCAAGCCGAGGTAGAAGGTCTGGAGCTTGTACATCTCTATTCTCGTCCGTTTGTGTGGCAGCATCAGCTCTGGCCAATAGGGGAGTCATCTGATCATCTTGCACAACTATCCCTCTCCCGGAGACTAGTGTAGGAATCTCCGGCTTTCGTACAACGACCTCGTTCCCACTTGGGCCTGTGACGGACACCGATGGTGTGGATCTTGTTCCAGCATCATTCTCTTGGGATAATTGACTTAGCTCTGCAAGGGGCTCAATGATGTCTTCGGATGAAGTATTGTCATCATCTTCGATCCAGCCTCCAGGCATCCTTGCTCCAGTCGAAAGTGCTCGCCTTCTCCCTATTTCATGATGCTCTGCATCAAGCAAACGTGATTGCCGATCAGTGACGTGTATACCAAGATCAGAGACAGCGTTCTCGCGCGGTACAGATCTACTTCTCTGGGGTTTCGTAGCTGCAATGGTAACATTTGACTGCTCACTCAATTGGCTTGGTCCTGTTGAGGAGAAATTGTAATTTTGTGGAGATGGTAAATTGACGATAATAGTCTTGCCTGATGGCAGGGTTTTTGTCTTGCGGGACTGAGTATGCGTAAGAGGTTCTTTGTGCGAAAGTCTAGCACTCCCAAAAGAAGAGCCACCAGCGACAAACATTCCGCTCCCAGGGCCAAAAAATGGTTTGTCAGAGCCAGAGGATTGCTTGGTGGAACCAAAACTTGAGCTGACAAAGCCACCAGATATGACAACAGATGGCTCTTTCAGGTCGCCACGTAGATTCCCAGAATGAGACAATGAGCTGCCAACGCCGCCAAATTCACCACTAGATCGATTCCCAGAACCAGCCGATGGGTTGCCAGAGCCACCAAAGACAACAGATGGATTTCTAGCACCAGAGGATTGATTGCCAGAGCCGAGAGGTAGGCTACCAAAGCCACCAGATGCAACGACAGATGGATTCCCAGAGCCAGAAGATGAGCGGCCAAACCCTGTGCCAAAAGGCGAGTTGCCAAAGCCGCCAAAGCCGCCAACGTCAACTCTAGATGGATTTCCAGAGCCAGACGATGAGTTGCCAGAGCCTTGGGGTGGATCAACAGAGCCAAACGATGGGCCTACGAAGCCACCAAAAGCACCAGCAGATGAACTTCTCAAGTCTTGAGATGGATTGCCAGGCGCAAACGACGAAGTCGCAGAACTACCAGCGGGAACAACAGGTGGGGTTTTAGAGTGACGAGATGGGTTCGATGAGAGGCCAAACCCTGTACCAAAAGCTGAACTGCCAAAGCCACGGGGAGAATGGCCAAACCCAAAAGATGGGCCTCCAAAGCCAAACATACCCGTTGGTGGAGATCCTTGCCTGTCTGAGTTACTATCATTTGGAGATGGCTGCTTCTCCACGACCTTGGTGCTTGCAGAAGGTGGACTGCCGAAAAGTCTTGTGTTCGTCGAAGGCTGCGTGTCGGAAGCGCCAGCGCTGGTTGGGCGATTTCGAGAAAGCTCTTCTTTTTCCTTGCGTCTGACGTCTGCACCAAATCCGCCTACGTTCGTCGGAGAAATCCTCTCGTCATCTATTCTGCTGGTTCTAAATCTAGATGCAGACCCAAATAGACTAGGGGCATCCTGAGATCGTCTGTCGTTGGAAAAGCCGCTTCGTTGCCGTTGTCTAGTCGGGGTTTCGGGGTCGGTTCTCTCAGGTGATTGACGACCAGGACCAAATCCCGCAGGTACAGGGTCAGGAACTTCGGACGCATCTGGACTTGTTCTGTTGTTCGAATTGTCGCTACTTAGCGATTCTAGCCCATTGTCTGAGTAGGGGCTACTGTGGCCCCCAGAGTCACTACAATACCAGTGGTCAGTCTAGCACGTGTCACTAGTGGGCAATGTTGAAATACAGTGCAGCGGTTACTTACTCCTCATTCCTGCTGCAGTGGTCAGTACAGATGGGATAGAGACAGACATGTGAGCGTACTCTCTGGAGGCTAACTTATACCACTTGGCGAGACAGTCAGTGACCCACGGTTTGAATTGCGTTGTGGCCCAGAACATAAGGTGCTCTACAATACATGTAAGCTGCACAGCGCACCATATGTGTTGAACGTGGCCTGTCCATATGCAAGACATTATCTGTTTGAAATGGCTGGTAAGTATCTTTCGTCCATGATTGAAATCTATTGAGAACGACCTGCTACTCACATATTCCCGACCACGTTTATGCATTATGAACAATTTCATCTCTGGGCCGACTGTTGTCATTGCGACAAATGGTTGTGCTTCCTTTTTCGCCCGATCTGCCAGTCTCTCAAGGAGTTTGAAACAAGTATGGCTACCGTTCGCAGCTTGTCTCAATACTTCATCGGTGTCCCCCAACTCTTTTTTAAATTCGGCGACTAGCCAGGGAAAAGCAAAACTTTTCTGGCTGACAATGGGCTGACAAACCAAATTTCCGCCACCTGCCGTCTGAAGGCGACTTATTTCACTTTCTTCGAAATAGACAATGCCTGCTTCGTGGCGTTCGGTGCCCTTCAAGGAGGTGAGATCTTTTTTGTGATACAAGCTGAGACCCACACAGACGTCAGGCGCTGGTTTGTTCATGTCTTCGCCGAAATTGCCCCGAATTTCCCTAGCGTTAGTAAATGTCTTCTTGGTACTCCTGCCATAAGTTTAGCGTTAGTCGTGAGACTACTGCGCAGACTACGGATACTTGCCATGCAAATAGGTCTCTCATGCGAATGCCATGACTGGATTGGTGAGCAAAGCGACAACGCAGCAATGTCTTCGCTTACGAGGATAATCTCTGGTTGATTTCATTAAACACGGTACCGGTCATAAAGTATTGCCAGGTCTCCTCTGAATCGCGCTGATCCCTACTGAACCCTCGAGCCCTATCCTGCAATTCCTTGGCTGCCATCCATCTGGCTGCATATGCTTTATGGCCTGAATCGCAATAAGCAGATTCATTAGGATAGAGCTCAAGCTTCAGTAGGTTGTTGTCATGACCGCAGCGAGCTTGAAGGGGAATTTTCTATACCAGAATGTTCTCAACAGTGGTAACGCTAACAGTTTGACGGATTATTACCTCGTCTTTTGGGACTGCATTGTCAAAATTGAGAAGCTGGTCGCGAAGCTTTGCCGCACAGTCTGGTAATACCGTAACATTGTCAGGGTCTTTCTCGACTCTGATATTCCAGCTGTGTAGCGCTCTCCAGGGAGGAACCATCTGAGCAATCTGAAATGACTCCTGGATGACTTAGAAGAGAGGAACGTCTTGATTTCTTTAGAGAATGTACCCCGCAGAGGCTGAGCAAGGCTGAGAACGCCCCCAGCGCTTAGATCATGCAGCTACAGGATCGGCCCCCCGTCTCCAGAGACCGATAAGGTACGATTGACGCCCCAGAACCAATCATTCGTCCAGGATTGCGATCCTTTCGGGGCAATGATGCTATTTTAGGTTGGGGTCACACTCCCTACGCCGGGTCCGAATGGCCCGCTCCCCGCTGTCCACTGTCCACTGTCCCTTATCGAGGCTCATTTCCCCTCAATAATGCAAACGTGGGATGCCATTAAAGTCGCGTTCACTATCACAATATTTGTATTGAGCCCAGAACTGAACCTCATTACTATACTGGATAATTTATGACTACCACGTCGACTTGTTATAGCTGCTGACCCGATGCTCTTTCGGGCGTGAGTAAAACAGGAGTTGAGAGTAGAGAGCGCGGAGGTGACTAACAAGAGCTTGGCCCTACTGCTCAAGGTTACGACCTCGTTTGATAAGATGGCCACTCGTGATGAGCTTTATTTTCTCTCATCTTAAAGTGAGATGTTGTTGGACGGTATGAGTCTCGGCATTGTGTGTGTTGCGATATTGCGACAAGGCATGATTATTCTATGAGTTAGTCGATATACCATTCTAGCCCGCCTAAGACCTTTCCCCGTGCGACCCATCGGCCCATCCTCATCGGCGTATAGAATGCCTTCAGATACACTGCTGGGTGTGTCGAGATCCGTTCAAGGCACTGAAGAAGCTCTGGATTATCTTTTAAGATTCTCATTACGGCAGCATGTGGTGAATTATAGGCTCCAGTGGTCTCATGATGATCCTCAGCGCCCTGATGATCTTCAGTCAGGTCCCGGTATATCGCCTCTAGGACCCACGACCCGAGAGTGTCGGTCGCACAAGGCACTTGCGGGCAATTTAAACGGTCAAGATAAGTCTAGAGTCAGGCGCTCCTTTGCCATCTGTGACAGATCGATCCAAGGATCTGCACCATCGAATCGAAGAAACTTGTACCGTGTCGAAGCAGGATACTCGAGGAATGGAACCTGAATATCGTCCATAAGTATATTACAGGGTACTAGGTCTTCCTCACCGTAGCCTCCTCCTCGCGGTAGTAGCTGATGCTCCATGATAAACCTCGTTAAGGTGCCGGATTCTGTTGCGTACAATCATGCGCCGATTGCCGGAAGAGCGCGGAGGCTCCGGGGCCATCTCCTCGGGAGACTGGTGCTAGCTTGCTTTGGCCGTATTACAATCATTGCACATGGAAGCGTCGCTGAAGAAGATACCAAAGATGGAGAGGTTTGGATTCTGAAGGATAAGGGATCCCGTTCCGATGATGTCATGAGGTAGGCCATTCAGTGCCAAGGCGCTACCTACAGTGTGGATAGAGCCAAGAGACTAATCTTATCGATAATGCTCTTCTTCGAATCTCTACTCGTAGACCTTTTTCGACCTTCTTCATCCTCTATCAACCCCATCGGCATCAGCATTGCTTGAGTTGCTGCCCATTGCGCGTCGCATTCAGTGCATAATCGTCTGAATGGCTCCAGACTACTATGCAGTCTGATCTCAAGGTATGTGAGGCTGCTCTTGACGCGTGAGACACAATTCACTTACCTCGCCTTAGGTGCTCGCTCTGGCAACGCTACATCCTCCCCCTGCCCTCCTCATTCACCCTCCTCATCCTATCGAGTCCAATCAGACGGCGCTTCGCCCTTGCCTTCGGTACCAACCGCGCAGACTACAGAACAAGAGGGGCTGGTAGCCGTGGAACAAGAGCAGATCGCGCCAGAAGAGCTTACTCCCCACCCTACATCTGTGAAGCGCAAGAGATCTGCACCCTCCTTACACGCGTATGATTCATCTTTCAACAAGAGTAAAGCGTCACATTCTGTATTAGGGAGCTCTGCAGGGAGCCTACGGAGGCTGTATCGCAAAAGGCGTAAAAGATTGCAAGAAGAGGTTAAACTTTGAGGTGAGATTTTCCATCCTACAGCCACTGATATTCCCTATGCGTAGAGCTTGCAAAAACCGGCTCTCGCCTCTCCCTCGCATTCGCCCCCTCAAGTACATCCATTGACCCGCGAGAACCTCGCCTTATTAGTGGCACCATGGCACCGAGGCAAGACACTGACACCGACACTTCGAGGTCGACCAAGTCAAAGACAACAAATACGAGTACAAATGTCGACCTTAGGATGCTCATGGATATGAACGGCATGCCAATAAGAGACAGAGATGCAAGAGATACGGAAGGGTACTCTATAGTTCGAGAGGAAGCGGTGACGCTACTTCGAAAGGATCGTAATTCTCCCAATGTGGGTGACAGTGCGGATAATTATTGGAAAGACCGTCAGGAGAAGTATGCAGGTAGAAACGAACAAACGTATCGTGATATATTCTTCATGCCCTTGCTGGAAGGGCACTCACTGAGCTTCAATTCGATTTTCATGTCATGCCATAGGAGAAAGCAGTGTTGCTCGAACCGATGCTTTGCTGCAATCCGATGCGCGAGGTGCTTCGTCCTATGATATGCTTTTCTTCACTGGCATTTGTTTGGCGCTCGCAGGTATACTCGAGGTTGCAATTGCTGATATTATAAGAATTACAGGCAATTTCAATAGTGCTAAAGATATCACCACCACCACCACCACCTGGTGATGATGATGCGGGGCTCATCTGACGCGACGTGTTTATTGTTTTTCCTTCTCCAGAAACTTTCGTCTTCTCTCCAGCCTGCCTCAATTCTTCGTAACGCGTTTACCACCGACTTTCGCGAGATCAATTGTTGCACATACCTTCAATCACATACCATTGAACTAGCAGCGCCTGCTTTCCTTATTATCCTTTTTTCAACAGTCACTACAATGCCGCGAGCATCAGTCTCCTCCCGCCTCGCCACCCTCTCAAACGACCTCAACAGTCTCCTCCGCGACGCCGCAACCTTCAAAAATGACTTGCAGAACGAGATTGTGGCGTTCTCCGGCCCCTCGCACCTCCACCGCGCCCTCGACGAGACCCACACCGAGCTCCTCGCTCTCCTCAACGACCTGCACCAGACGATCAAGGCCATGCAAGAGGCTCGCACAAGCTTTTGGCGCTTTTTTAAAGCCAGAAAGGGAGAGACAAGATACCGAGGCCTGGTCGTAGAGTTGGCGAGAATCAGAGAGATGGCCGTAATTATGTAAGAGAGTCGCGCGAATGTGGCGATAGTGTGACTAATTCTGGTTATAGCTGGCAGGATGCAACGGCGGCGGCGGAGAGCGGGGCTGAAAGAGGAGTGGGACGGTCGTAAATTTGGTTTGGTAGTGATAGGCGGGAGCTATAAGCCGGTGGTGTTTGGGGACGACACTGTTGTGAAGGGGGTGATATTGTGATTTGTAGATTAGCAGTTCTTCTTTTGCTTCCCTGACTTTCTTTTCTCGAGGGCAATTTAGCATGCGACCGCTGAAATGGCGGTCTGGACTCCTCCGGTGTTATAATTGCAATAGGCGCGTTAAGCTTTTTATTTGAGCGTGGCAGCCTGTCGACAGCATAGAGCATGGGCAAATGTACCCACTCTTCTCACTCCATGCTTAGTGCGGGCGTCTTGAATGACCGAAGCTAGCTCCTCTCTATGGGCAATCATTCGAAGACAATTGGTACTTGGGGCAGCTCAAATATATGTCTCCCCTCCCCGGCCCTGTCTATTCTCCGCCCATGGGATTCTGAGGCATGTCACTAGGGACTAACAAGTAGCATTCGGTTGACTCAGGTCTTCAAGTCCATCGCGTTGGGCCTTGTGAGTCCTCCCCGCCACAGTCATTGTTTTAGTGCGAGTGTCAGATACGGGTTTAAACCAATGCGCTAAATGTGGGGAAGGTTGTTCGAGATGACATCCACGTGCATTACAGTCGTCATTATCAAACTGGGATCATCACAGTCGATACGTGTCAAGGATTAATCTCAGGAGTGATCCTGGTATCCTAAATATAGATATGGCTCTCCCTCAATGAGCCAGCCGCGTTTAATACCGCATTGGGAGCCATCAAGAATTTTCGAGGGCGAGCGTTGCTCGCCTTCTTGGCTTCTATGCATGCAATCGTTTTCATAAGAGCACAGAGGTGATCACATCCTAAATCGCGTGGAGTCGGAGAAGATGTACTAAGATCAAGTACAGTGCCGTCTCAGGTGAGACGGCTACAAGCACGGTACCGGCCGTTTCTACGATAGCATCCACCGGCTCTGCAATAGCATCCGTCGCTCTCTCGATGATGACGGACACTTTCCCAATAGCAACCATTGCGTCTACAGCGGCATCGACGCCGTCGCAGCCGAAGGAGAATTCACCTAATTATAAGAATCAACACGACCCGCCGCACTAGAATAAATCGGGAGTGAGTCTCTTTGACATCAAGTCTTTGTCACTACACCTCAAATGAGGGCCAGTCGGGTTATGACCTTGTAAAGATCTCTTTCCCGCTTTTGCACCGCCTTCCCCTCGGTAGCCTGCTCATCAGCTTGGTGGCGGCAGAGACGGGACTTCGTTGGAGAAATTGACGGCCGAGTGAAGGACGTGCGGCCCCATTCGTAAACTCATTGGACATGAAGAGTATATCCTGCATGAGCACAGACATAGCATGCCGCATATGGGCAAATTGTACCAGTCGTTCGTGGGCATCCTTCACCCATGCTTTAATAAAGGGAACTCCCTAGTGCTGCCATGACTCGAAGTATTACACATCAGTGCTTATGCCACGGCTAACACGGGCTTAAAACAAAGGAATCTCACCGGAGGATTTATCCGCAAGCTAAGATCTGACCACCACGAGCTCTAGAGGATCCTTTGCGGCTGACAGCTATACCTCATTAAGAACTTACAAAATGGAATACAATCGACGTTTTACGTCATGCCCATCCCAATAATGCCCTTTTGGTCTTGCCGCTGACCACCATCACACTTTCTCAACGCAGGCCGTGTAGGTCGGACCTTCTTCAGGGGTTTTTGCTCCATCATGATACGATGAATGAGTATGATAGATGTCGGACACGGCTCATAATCCATGTGCATGTGGTGTTCATTCTCGCAACATCTGCTGCACAGGAATGTCCTAGTCTGATTCAATGGGTGGTCAGACGAGCAAGACGGCATCTCTCAGTTGCAAACATTATGAAATCATTAAAGAAATTTTTTAATGAGTATCATAGAACCCGAAAGACATAAAAGGCAGCACGACGCTGCAATCATTCTGCTCATTCGCAACATTCAAGACATAAAGACAATTCAGACTCACTTTAACTCGGACTCATTGACCTCCCAAAAATCTACACACAGTTTTATCCCTAAACAGTTCCAACCAATTCTCTGCACCATGCAATACCTCAAAGCCGCCGCTCTCCTCGCTGCACTCAGCCAAGTCGCCTTCGCAGCAGACATCCCCATCTGCCGCGAGAACTTCCAAAAATGCTCCGTCGCCGACGCCACCGGTCTAAAAGGCGCCGTGACTCAAGCAGCAGCCGGCACAGGCGGCAACTTCATCTTCCCGCCCAGCCCCACAACTTTGACCTATGGCTCCGGCGAGTGCGAGGTCGGCTTCATTCCGAACAACTGCGGCGTCCAGTCCTCGGTCGCGGCCGCCGACGTCGCCGACAACATCCAGGCTATCATTGACAATTGCATTGCTCCGGAGGCGGCAACTTCGCCAAGTGGCAAAGGGAGCGGAGGGGAGGCTGGCTTTGTCCCTGGACAAGGATGTACGTTCGACGTCAGGGTTTATTCCGGCACTGTCACGTCTCGTGCGAAGGCCCGGAGGGCAATGCGCTCTTGAATCCTGCTATGTCTCCCGTCATTTTGAGGGATAAGCTGGTAAGAACAAGTGCGAAGATTCAGGAAGGTGCAGGGTAGACTGATAGGTGGCAAGTAACATGTTGGCAGGATAGTGATAGATAGGACACTCTTTTCATTGCTAATTTCAATCGAATGATGTTGCTTCGATCATCGTAAATGGCGTTTTTCGGACAAAAGATCGCGTGCAGTATTTGACATTAGCATCGCGTCTCTCGACTCTCTGCTAGTTTTGAAGGCCTGAGTGAGGCATCCCTGGATATGTTATTGGTTGGAGGACCTAACAAACAGTGCCTTCTTCTTAGTCAAGGATGATGGCTGAGATCTCTGGTGCCACCTTTCATAGATATCCAATTCAAATTGGTCATCTCTGACCTTCAACGCAACTTTTGTTTGCCTTTCCTCTGATCCTGGGCGCGAACGTAGTCATTCTTGCCTGGAACGACTAAGGTTAGCCGCTGCAAGGAATCTTTGTCCTTACCATGGGATTATGCGTTACGCTTTCATTGTTGGTCTGTTTGCCAAGAGGAACTCCAGCACGCATAGACAAGACTTTGTTCGGAAACGCTGTGTGGAGCAGTGACAATGCGATACACCGAAGCTGGACATGATAGTAGGATCCAAGCAGAGAGCTCATACTAACAAGGGATGCTGGACGAATGGGATTGTAGAGTTTGGAGATGTATGGAGGTCCTATGGCTTTGCGAAGGTTGAATAGAAGAGTAGAGTTGGCGATGAAGAAAACCGTGCGCGTTTCAAAGACAGTCGACAAACATGAAATTCTCCCGTTTGAACGGATGCCAAGATTGATGAGTATGAGAAATCAACCTCCATCTCCTCATCTCTTCTATCTCATACTCTATATCCTAACCATACTCTATCCCAACCGTACTCGCTATGACTTCAAAATCAAAGCTTTCACATATATCTTTTTGAATAAAAAACGAGTTTTACAACACAATTAGAACTATTGCTTCTCAACACAGAAAACAACACGCAAAAGCGAAGACCAATGTTGACGAGACAGCATCAAATGCTACAAGCCTGGATGCTTATCACATCTTGGGATCGCCTGCACTCAGCACCGACTTGCCGCTCTCCAACGCCGGTCCCGTCATGGCAGCCGTAGTATGCAGAGAGCATGTATCAGATGCAAGCACCATCTTTGCGTATATTAACAACCTCTCCAGGGGTATTACTATTGGAGTCGCAAACAATATCTTTGTTAATTAAGCAACAAGCGACATAGACTGCTGCAACGTGAGATATAAGGTTCTAAGTAGTTCTTATGTATAGCTGTCAAAAAATATGTAGTCATTTGGCTCGGGGCTTTGTACTATATTTGCAGGTGACGACATACAAGATCCAAAATATCCGAGAAGGCCGCATATCGACCGAGCTCCACCCTTTCTAATACGGACTACCCATACAATCGGGCGGAGCATCGGAGTCATGATCGCCGAGTCTTGCCGGAAGACCGGGCTTCATAGTAATGTGCAAACACCGTGATCGCACAACTAGTCATGTTTGGTGCGACTCCGACGCTTTTTTTGAAACAAAAAGAGGCATGAGGAACATTTGATTGATTGATATGAGTTAGCTACCATTGTGTTGACTGACAGCCTTGTTAATCCTCCCCGTCGGCCAAGAATGCGTCGGCGATGATTGTCCAGAACTGCTCGATCTGCCGGTTTCGCTTGCCCTCTTCTTTTTCACCATCCTCGTCATACATCTTGGTTGCTCCATTGTTGGCCCTACCTCTGCCTTGTCTAACATAGTAATTGATTTTGCCAGGAATTGTCTCAAGCTTTTCTTTCCCACTTTCGGCAGCTCCGATGCTATCTTGAGCTTGCCCAGGCGTTTGCGGATCTGGTCCTGGCGGAGAAGGAGCCCCGCCACCTGCTCGTAAAGCTCTAGCATAGGCGAGGACGCCCATGACGTCACGGTCGCATTGCTTCGCTTGTACCTTATTGTCGGGTAGGTATGTATGGTAACTCTCATCCATACCTAGATCGGGAAGCGTCTTGAGGCAAAGGTCGCAAGATGGCTGCAACACCGACTTCCAATTCTCCCCAAAGCCTGATTCTATGGCTTGTCTTAGTGCTCGGAGCTTCTTCCCTTTACTCTGTTCACCCATTCGTTTGCCGTTGATGGAGAATAAGATTGAATTGACGTCGAGGCTCTCCATCTTGGCAAAACTAAGACGAATAGGTCAGGCGTTGATGGTCATATCATGTGACATCGCTCAGATATTCACTCACGAGTCTTCAAAAAGCTTGTCAAGCCGATGCTCTGCATGCTTAAAATTACGAACGGCAAGGCTAAAACCCTTGAATTCCAAACCCTCCGGCAGATCTCTGTAGATAGATTCAAAGCTTTTTTTGATACTAGATATATAGTCATAGATTAGACATTGACATAACATCTTCAAAGACCAGTCGCAACGTGACGTAGAACATGTATGCATCGGAGTAGGTTGCTGGAACTGCTTACCATACGAGCTGTGTAAACCCGGCAAAAGTCCCACAATGGCCATACTTGATCGCCATCTTAGGATCGACAGACTTGTTTCGTTCACCATCTTCGGGCTCTTTGTCGGCGGCACCAGTGTCCATCGATTCTTGGAACTTGACGACCTTGGGATTGCGACAGCGGACTTCTTTACCCATCGCATCATGTTCGTGATCAAAGATAGGACGTTTTGTCAGCTCTTGGAGAAGGGCATGTCGGGCGAGTTGGGTAGATGCTTTCAGATCTTGACGCCCCAGCCCTGTCGGGTTATCTGGAAGGGATGTTCCAAGAATAATCTCGTTGAAGGGTTCCAAACCTTTCTTGCAAATGCGTGGTAGCTTCTGCTGCGGGGCAAATCTCGAATTTCTCTGTAGATAAGCTACTTCGCAAGCAAGAGGAGCATTCTTCCGGCCCCATGCCTTCATGGCTAGCGTAAGAGCAACGCTTGAGGGAAAGACGTCGGTTTTTGATCGAACACCTGCTGCTGGCTGACTCAGTAGCGAGAAGTAACATCCTAGTTCATCGTCGATTGTGTGGAAAAAGGAAGGTTCGCGATTCCAATTCCCTTTTCTAGGCTTAAGCTGGTACTTTTTTTGACTCCCATTGTGACCGTCGTCTATGAAGAATCTGAGACCACCTCGATCATGGGACAGCGAATTGCTGCAACAGTTTAGCAGGAGCTTTGAGCAGGTTTCTTTTGTCGATGCTTAAAGCTGATAACAGCTTGAGGGTTTCGACTCACTCGAAATCGACAATCTGGCGGCACGTCTCGTTGAGTGCTTCAATGTAGCCGCGAGGGATGTCGTAATGGTGTGGTTTCTGGGCCACTCGCTTAACGAATTTGACGAGCTACTCATATCGGTGAGACTGCAGAAGATAGAATCATGTATTCGCTAAACTCACATCAGGACGGGACTTAATCAACAGCGCCTCCAGAACATGCTTTGGGAATCTTGGCATCCTTGGGTACATTATCACTCGAAATACCTTGAACCAACCAGCATAAATGAAGCTTTAAAAAGCCGTTTGGAAGATACCATGATGGATCTAGGCAGCGAGCGGCTTGGCAAATGCATACTGAGTGCGGCTTGCCGATGACACCAGGAGATCAGGGTGCAACTTCTTTGTGAGCTGACAGCTGCTGCTTCTTCCGGTTACTAAATGTGGTATCTGCCGTCCAGATATGCCTTTCTGCTGAAAAAGGTCGGTTGTACATCTTCGGCTTGTTCGTGACAGAGTCTGGGATCATGTCATGATGCTACCCGTCGTAATAGCTTCAAAATCAACACTGAAGTTCTGATCTAGGCAACTGTCAAGACGTGGCCATGCATAGGAAAAGGCATCCCGCTCGACTAATGCACGTACCCGTGAAAGGCATCTCAGCAAGACGGTGGGTGTATCTACCAGATGTTTTTGTTCGTCAGATCTTGGGAGCCCTGGCATTTGGTGACAGCTCTGTCGATTTGGCTGTAGTCTTGATGGTAAGCGGCTCTGACTGAGAACCAGATGTCTCCACAAGGTGTGACACGTAGGATTGCACATCTTCGCTACGCAGAGGTTACATAGAGGATGCCATACCGTTGTCGCGTTGTTGCATGATATCATGTATCTTGACGGGTGTTGAAGCCATTTTCGGACTAGGCTCAAGCTTTGGAGGGGTGTCGCTCTTGAGCCACAAACAAAGGCCACAACACACTACCTGCGACTCATTTCCCGGGGCCAAGGACACATCGTCTTCCTACAACTTCACCACCCCTTCTACCCAAGCATCCGCCGACATCGCAGAATCACGATGGCGGCGGTGCGATTTCTCACAATGAAGCCTGCGTCAACCCTCAAAATGTCCCTCAATTCGCAGCTCAGTTCCTACCGTCATCATCATCTGAATACTGCAAAGAAGGGCTTTTCGAACAAGACTGCCTTCATTGGTAGCTACCCTCGCCCAACCACAACCCAAGTCGCACAGACCAAGAGTTTTTCCTGGAAAACTATACCGTTCATCGACAGTTTCGTGGCGGCTTCTGTTTCGGTATGTAACGTCTCGCACGCCTTCATTCAATGATCTGGCTGACAGACCCTCTTCGCAGACGGTAGCAGGCACGCAATCTCCTCCAGAAGACACCAAGACCCCCTTCAAAAATGTTGTGTCCCCTCCGAAAATTCCGGGTGGTTGGTACCCACCAGACGTTGATCAACTACGATGGTGTTATGAGCGATTTCCAAATGAAGAGTATGGACTACATCCAGCTGCAGCGATCTTGGTCTGTAAAGATCGCAACGAATGGGTCATAGAGTGCGGTAGCTGGCAATTCTATTACTGGAACGATGATACAAATCATATCTGGCAAATCAAGACCCCTCAAGAATTGCCAGATATTATTCGGAAGCTAGACGAAGCTTCCCGTTATAAACCTAGCGCCGCTAAAGACCTCGAAGTTTTCCTTGTAACGTGTCCTGATGATCCCAACACTGAATTCGAGAAAGACCTTGGCCCGAAGTGGCGTGCTATTTTCCACCGTCCGGGCTTGGTCGACCAGATCGAGGAGGCGTTACGTGAGGCTCGGTACCAAAGCGCTCATAAATCAGAAGCAGAAGAAGACCAAAAGAAGCAGACTCCGCGTCGTGTGGGCCACTACATAATGGGACTGCAAAGTTATGATGACCGCCTCGCGAAAGCGATCGAAGGACCATCAAGGTATTGACTTGTGTTCAACCTCGCTCGAACAGGAACGCAAGCTGAGTTCATTTTTCGCGCGACAACCAATGGTAATGGTATGCCGTTTAGTCAAGCTAGTCAATGTCTGCATTCGCCTTTAAAGATTTCGGATATTGGCGAAGGATTTAGGAATAAGCATTGTATCTAGTTGATAAATTTCACGATTCGTAAATTGCCGTTTGATCTGTACCATGCTCACTTGTCGCCCTGTCCTTGTTACTTGAGCCTTCTTTGCTAGTACTCGCCGCTTCTTGTTCTCGCCATGAAGGCGACCTGGGCTGTGGAGTAGAGGATCGGTGGGTTACAAAGGCGGGGCGTCATCTCTCGAGGGCCTTCCTCATTACTGATTGATGTTGCTAAGGCTTGGTATTCAAAAACCTTTCCTTGCCGTAGAATTCCAGATCCGGCGTCGTCGGTGAGGAGCGTACTCTCCAGCAGAGGGATTCCCTAAGGGTTAAAACACTACCTGTCATGTTCCTATACGTGCTGAAATCTCCCATCATCTTAAAAATGCAGCTGTAATGCTCTTTATGATTGGTGGACGACTGAATCAACAGGGCTTGTCATCGTGGTGCTGCGGGTATTGCGAGGGCTCACTCTTGCGTTGTGGAGTCTCTCGGCGACCCTGTCCAGGTAAAGGCATCCGACAAGCATTTGTAGCGCGAGTATGCCACGGGTCTTTTGGATTGCAAGCGAGTTGTACATATTCTTTGCGGTGTTCCAGCTATGACCGTCTCGATTACCGTCCGCCGGTCATCTGCCTGAGACTGGACGAGGGACGAGTAACTAAGCATGCCTGGAGTTCGCTGCACATGCCGCTGCATATCTCGAGCCTAGACTTGAAGTCGTCTCATCCATGTGTGTGTAGGGTCTATGGTATGCTGGAAATGTAATGGACCTTGGGTCTCTTGAAGGCTTGCTTTCTAAACGGCGAGCCTTGTAACTCTGGAGCTTCAATCTGGCAGAGATGGCTACACATAGTGTGAATATTGGGCGTGTAGGTTCTAGGAGAGCAGTGGGGGGTTCTGGCGGCATGAAAGATGGTGGAGCTTCTGGTGTGGAGTCATGTATCAGGCGTCTTCGACAGGGCTGGGTCCTTAGATTTTCGGTTCACTCCGGAGTAGGCTTGTTCAAGGGTCCTCCCACTCCTGCGTATCCTTGGCCCTTGAACTTGTTCAGTGCGGTCATTATCTCTTCGTCAACCCCTGGAGGAACATGGGCAGAATTCGAGAACTGCGTCGAGGACCCAACCATTGAAGCAGCCTGGTAGAGCTGAGGCAGCAACCATTTGCGTGAATAGCTGTGACTTTACCATGTGAGCCACTTCATGAGGGAAAGATTCGGCGGGGATTCTCTTACTGGACGAAATGGGGGGATTTTACGACAAGGAATAACCTCGATTGAGATGTCTTGGCAGAGAACAGGATTCTTGCACCGAGGACCATTTCATCGAGGATCATTCCATCGAGGACCATTTCTCACTTCGGACGCGACAAGCCACGATCCTTAATCTCCCAATTCTCCCCAATACTGTCAACCATGAACAAGAACCATGAAGCTGCTTCACGCGGGGTGACGATCGCCAGACTGTCCGTTCTTTACAGCATTCGATGATCGCTGATCGTAGCAGACCTGGCGTGATGGGCACCAGAAGTTCAGTCCACAGTCCAGTCTCACCTCACTGACAATCGAACCATCATTTCCTTAGATGAACTCGCCCGTGACCCCCTTCAATAAGCTGCGGCGCTATATAGCTTCCTCTAGCTGCACTGGCTACGACTGTCCTACACTAGCCGCCAATCTGAGGGCCATGGTGCCAAATGTCGACCCGAACCCATGAAGAAGCAAGTGAGAAGAGCCACAATGAAGCTTGCACGACCATGAACATTGCGCCGGATGTCGTACAACATGCGCATCAAGAGCTGGGGTACAGGCAAGCTCGTGGCTATAGATCAAGGGATGTCAGAGAGTGTGGCACTTCGGAAGTCTTGAAAGCCAAGCTTGCTTGTTGACTGGAACGCCGCGTCTAGTCAATCGAGCGCATACCCCGGAAAACACAATGCACATTGTACTACGGTCTATCTAGACAATTACAATACTGAAGTACCTACAAGATCAGACCTTGACGCCATCGAAGCCAGCTTGAATATCCTCCAGGAGCAGTGGCTTTATTTTAAAGCGCAGCCCGCGAGACTACTTTGACGCATGGCCGAACCCTCTTACAATTACGACGCGAAATGTATCGGCGACAACTGCCGTCAAGAGCTCGCATCAAAGAAAAGGGTGATAAAGAAAGAGTATAGATTAGATCACAAGGTCACGGCACAGAATCTGCAGTCCGAGACAACTGTTATGCTGCCGCTCTCAAGAGGTGGTGAGCTCCTGTTACACATGCGTGGCACAAGATCCGTCATGGATGGATAGCTTAGCCCTGGCGCGTGCGACGCTATTCGTGGACAATTTGCCAGACGGCGACCCTCGAGGCGGGATTGGACCGACTGCGAGCCAGCGCCCAGTTGTGCTAGTACTGTAAAGGGTTCCATCATGAATGACGTTGGCGATGGGATATCCTGGCGCAATAGAATGATTCGGGAATGATGTGAGGGAAATATCCGCAGGCTAGGATGAAGAATGGAGGGCAGGTCCTCCTGAGTAGACAAGATGGGGGATCACAGGCGGCAGCAAGGAATGGCTCAATGTGAGACCATCGAGCAGTCAACAGAGCGAGAAGGGGTATCTGCCCATCGTACATTCCAGCGACTAAATCATGTACTCTCAATCCCGCGTCAAAATGTCCATATTCTGTTTGTGCTATGTGCGGTCCTAGCTTGTTGGCCTGATGAGTGTGAACCCAGTGAGGACTAGCGTTCGCTAAAGATGCCCCAGTCTCTCTCGCTGCACGTCCTGATTTCGTCCTGCATGTAGCCCTCCGATCGTTATTCCTAAGCCAGCTGACATCGCTACTGGCTTTCTCTGCGCATGCGCCACTAACGGTCCGCTCAACGCCTGCCTGCACGTCAACCTTCCCTGTTGAACTTGGCCTTTGTCGCAACTTCTATTTAGTGTGCATCGACTTCGGGCTTAATCTGACCTCTCATCCTCACTTGCTTAAAGAAGCTCCGTCAAGTCGTGCGTGATGCCAGCTGCATATTGTACCCCGCGATGCTCTCCGGGTCGTCCCAAATGGACTTAATCAATGTTGATTGATCCTGTATGCGTTTCGTCTTTGCAAGCTACCAGATTGGCATCGCGATTAATGGAGCTTCTGCTGCCGGGAACATGAATGCACCGTCCGTCTCTCGTACTATGCAATATTCCGAGCCGCATCCTCCACTATCTCCTCATTCTTGGATCCAAATGACCCGATTCGCTCGGTCTCTCTGTCATACTGACTTTCATAGCAAATGGAAGGTTTCAAGACTGGTAAAGACCATGGAGTTGCTCGAGATGAACAGATCAGTTCTTGCCCAGGTCAGCCCGATGCTTGAAGGTGACAGCTGCGTGGGTGCTTTAAGGCGCAATGTCGCGTCTGCGGTTCGGCAGCTTAGGCATTTTCGCTTTTTTAACAATGTGCGCTTACGAATGGGACGCTTGGTATCGATAGCGCTGAAGCGTAGCAGAGCAGCGGATAAGAGGCATTTGGGAGAAAGCCTAGAAACAAAAGAGGTCTCGTAGGAGGCAACGTGGCTGCCGTGAAAAGCCTTTTTAGCACCGGACACGAAGCCAGGCTCCGAGAAACAAGAGACAGGCATTCGACAAAGCCGATCCGACGCTTCTCCTCAGGACAACGGATGATCATAAATGGTCGCTCGTACAGGGGCCCATGTGACATTACACAAGCTAGTGATAGAGAAAATATGGTCCAGAGATTTTTGGGTACTGATCTTCGATTTAAGCAAGATTGGGCCAATGATTCACCCCGCTCTCGACACCAGCAAAGAACCTCCTTGCCCTTAAACAAGTTGTTGCAAGATGCCGAACATAGAGTTGGGGGTTCGTAAGGAGTCCTCGGTCATACTACTTCTCATAATGCTTCAGGAGAGAACATGTGGGGGAGTATAATGCGTCCATGCCATTTGACCTCGAGATTCTAGTGATGAATGGTTGATTGGCCACTTTCACGCCTGTGGCAGTCGTGCTGGGCGTTCAGGTCAGCTCTATCACTATGAAAGCCTTGCTCGACCCTCCATTCTTCTTAGATTCGTACATCTTCGGTCGTCCATCGCGATGCAAAGAACAACGGAATGATCACGGATTTTAGATCGCGGGAGCCGCCAAAACGTTATTCCGTCGAGCCACTGATCAGCCGCGCTGACTAAACATCATTGCAGCTGCCTGTTACGGTTAGCTCTCCCGCTTCGGCTTGGCGCTCTTTTCGTACAACCTCCAGACTTTCCACTTCCCATCTTCATCCACTACCCTGCATCGCCATCATTTCAGTATCCTACGCAGCTTCTTCCCTCTCGCGCTTTCTCAACAAATGCTGAAATGGTGAAAGCAAATGCTTCTCACTCCAAGCGTCTTGCCTAAAGATCGCAAGCGACGCCGCAGTCAAATCAGTAACAGCTCTACAGTCTCCGAGAACACACGTACTGGCTGTTACCCACCAAACACCTGGGACAGAGTATCCAAGTTATACCTCACCCCCCTTGCCCTTGAAGAACTCAGCCGCAGGACCTATTACTTCGACTCCATCTCTCCTTCCATCTCCACCGAATCAGAGCCGTCCCCGCAGACGACCCCTCAACACGCTACGCTTGCGCAATTCGCCAGACACGGAGGGCCCGACTTAAGTGACGTCCGAGGCGTAAGCATTGTATCGCTTGGTATGGTAGAGTAATCCTGACTTAATAGAAGCATTCAGCTGCATACTCAACAAATTTATCAGTAAGCGCAATGCCCCCCAAACCGCAGTAAGGCCACCAGAACGCCAGAAAGAGAAAAGAATCTTGGGAGCCTGAGTCTAGGGCATCCTCAGCCTATAATCCAACTTTAGAACATGCCCTAATAGATAACAACATCTTCCCTATCTTGACCTCGTGTAGCGGTGCCGACGAGGGTTGCTTGGACACCCCTAAAGATTTTAACGCAGTCATAACTAAACTTAAGGAGCGGCGCCGATCTCTTTCGCCGACTCGCTTTACTAACGAGGATTTCCGAACGTGGGAACGAATACACGAGAAAGCACGTTTAGAAAACAAAGTAATAGCTGAATCCTTCCCTACTATTACCGGTAAGACCAACATCCCAAACGAAATGAATGTTCGCCTCAATAGACTGAAAGATCTAGTCACAACTGATAAATTGACTAAGGGCTAGCCCGATTTTTAGGACGGCAGTTTGTAAGGCGATTTTGACTTAAAAACTCGCAAAGTTCTAAAGGACTACATTGTACCCTCCAGAAAGCTTTACGCACTATGTCTGCCAAACTTCTTCGCAGAAAGTAAAGGAGCCGACGGGGATTCCAGCATCTGTCGGCGACAAGCTTTCTATGATAGCGCATTAGGTAAACGAAGCATAACGAAACTCATGGAATATGCCGATCCTGCTGGGGAAATCTACGATTACGCGCGTACGTTTGTATGCACCTTCTACGGCACTGAAGCGGTATTAAGCATTTTCTGCCTCCATCGCTCGGGTCCCCGCAATGAAACTGGCGAGATTGAGGAGCTTTACGTGCATATGCACCGCCTAGGCAGTTTCGCTATAGTAGGCGGCGCCGACACTTTTCGCCAGGGAGCAACGATGCTCCGCAACGCGCGGCTCCTCGCTCAGAGTCACCGAGATGAAATCATCCGAAAAGCGAACGAGAAAGCCGCTAAGGACACGTCGGAAAGTTTGCTGTCCACGCAAAATTCCGCGTCCTTCGGCTCCAATGGGAGCGGCTCTACCGTGACAGACACAGACCAGCTCTCTCCAGAGTATGAGGCGAGGAAGAAGGCGCGATTGCAGGAACGTCGCGAGGAAACGTGATACTTTACGCAGAACCACCGCAACGACTACAACAGCACTAGAGATGACAAAGATACGCCTGCAATCGCCTGCATTTTGAGAAAAACATCTTTATTTACGAAGCATTATGAGCTCAGCGAACCCATGGCTGCCTGCAGAATTGCCACCCCTGGCAACCACCTTCACTCGCAACGAGGATTAAGACCGCGAGTTTGCAGAATTACTCACATGTCATCAGCTTCGCTAGCATAGCATAGATACCCCACATAGCCCAATTGTACAATATCAGAGCTTGTCACGACCCACGTACAGTCTCCTCTCTCCTACTTTTGCCACTGCTGCCACGACCAAAGCGATCTCATCCCACCCATTCGTTGCTTTTTGCGCACTTGCCTGACGTACTCTAATCTCAAGTTCAACCTCACGCTCCTCTTTTACCGCTTCACTATATCTTTGAGCCACTTTCAGCTTCCTTCCAGCGATGCGCGAGCCGTTGGGAGCGTTCGCAAGACCTCATGCTGACTCCTGCAACAGTGCCAGTCATGACTATGGCCTTGACTCAGCTCAGCAGATCTCTCTAATGACATCGCCAACACCATGACTTCATGAAGGTGCGGGGTCAATCTAATATTAAGATTTAACACTCTGTTGACACTGCCCGCAATTATTGATTTCTCTAGAAATCAGACCTCTTTTCCTTTCTTCGTCGCAACGAACTGTTTACAATTGCCTATACCATATACCAACGTGCTTACAACTACTTATTTCACAACGAAGTCAGCCTTCTTTTCACCTTTCATTGTTTAAATATACCCAATCGCCACTATTCTACTATAAACCACTTTCCCTCCGCCTCCAACACCATGCCTACCGCCATCCCAACCCTTACAGACCACCTCGCCGATCTCCTCCGCCGCGCCCTGCTCTTTAAAGTGAAGTACGAAGAGAAATCGCCCGTGATCTTCAGCCTTCCCAACCTCGAAAACAGTCTAGAGCAGACTATCGCTTGCCTCCAATTCACTATCAAAACGATCCATACGATTGTAGCATCACTGAACGAGGCGCAAGGGACAATTTGGGAGTTCTGGGAAGTTAGGAAGGCGGAGAGGCGATATAAGAAGCTAGAAGGAGTTTATGTGGATGCGGTCAGGGCGGTCGGGATGATGTGAGTGATGCGTGTGGGAAGGGAGCGACAGGGGGGTGCTGATTGGATGCAGTGTCGGAGAAGCGGTCGCGCAGACGGAGGAATGGCTGGATAACCCGGTGAGGGTGTAAGGAGTGGCTGTGGGGCAGTGCGAGGATAGAAGAGAAGGCGCAAAGCAGATCGATTGAATAAGAAGGAAGAGGCAAGGGAGGAGGAGGAGGGAGAGGGAGAAGGTTGTTTTATAGTTGAAAAGCTTATCGCACGGGCTGGTTGATTTAATTCTTTTTCTTTGCTGCTTTCTCTTCTTCCTTAGCTACGGTTAGCAGGCTTTTGTGTAATAGTTTAATAAAGATCTAGACAATCGGGCCTAGAAGGGAGATGTTTCAGCTATCCCAAACCCCATAAGCGCTTAGCATGAGTAGAAAGAGGTCCAGCAGAAGACGATGATCAGGAAAACTACGAATCAAAATATGCAAGTGTCAGAGAAGAGAGCCTGAGAAAAGTACCACAAGCAAAGATATGCGCGAACGAAGTTCAGTCGCTCGCACGCAATCAGCAAGGGCGTCTGCATCGGCCGGAAAGCTGAAGAGACGTCAGGGAAATCAGGAAAGCCATAGCGATGGAGGTGCACGTGTCAAGCACCAGAAATGATCCATCACTGCAGACACGGAAGGCTTTAAGCGAAAAGACATTTCTGCTTTCTTCAGACAGACAGCGCTGATCCCCAAAGATTTCCATCAGCCAGAAAATGTCTGAGGCACCCCTCTCTGAGCGATGCCGGACCGATAGTCCGGCGACTATACTGCCAGCGACAGGACTATATTTCTAGCATTGGAGGTTCCAATTCTTGCGACCAGCTGAGCAAGATATCTACAACTCTCCGGCAGAACCAAACCCTGCCCACCTCTCAGGCCACCAACGGTCTGCGTTATGTGGTCCAGGATCTAGACAGCATAGACGCCTACTCTTCAGTTGCATCCGTCCTTCGACAATACTTTTTTGTGTTTCTTAAAACTTACAGGGTGAACTTAAAAGAGGAACACTAACACGGCTCTTCTGTTCGGACCAGGAAAGCATCGAGAGGACCTGATATACTACCTGAGGATGGGTCAGCGCAAGATTTTGCGACCTGCTCACCTTTGACTGCGCTGATGCGCAGGCACTGGGAGAGATAAGGGAAGAGGCGTATCTAGATCTGCAGCCGACTTGTCGGACACGGGGTCGAGCTATAGACGAATATCAGAGAAAGCTTGCACCCTTAAAAGAACGGATACGTTGCGGACGCAATTGGAAGATCCTTCGAGACAACTTCGGAACCTTCATTCTTCTCCTGATCCCGTCAAAGGATGACTACGACATTCGCAATTCCGAGTGAGTTGGCTTTTCTTGTTTGTGGCGCTCTTCTGGCTTCTTCAGCGTGGAGAAGCTATCTCTTCCGGTACTCCACACCCTGATCGATCGAGCTCCTTTCTGAGCACCGTGGGAGCTTATTTGAGGCTGTATACGGCAAGGTCTCCGAGATAGTGAGTGTAATTGAGGACTGGAGTGGTCTTGACAGACAGTACAAGTTCGAAAGCATTGATGGGGCTACGTTGCAGAAGGAGCCGCCAGACTCGAGCCGCTTTATTAGATACTGCGGCTTGGATGCGGATAATCTCCCGAGGAACACTACTGGATCGAATGATGGGTTTGGAGACTCCATGGATGCCTTATAGAAGGATAGAGACATGTGTTGTGGAGAAACACTCGTGCTGGGCAACACCCTGCCATATCCACCCGTCTTCTAGCGGAGAAGCCACAACCTACAGTGCGTCACGTTTCTACTTCAAATCATGCAACGATAAAAGGTCAAATGCAACAACGCAAGTTTATAATGATATGCGAGTATATTGCTCCCGTTGGAGACAACTACTTGCGCAAAGCAATCTTCAAACGTCATGAATGAGTGTCAAGAAATGCAGTATTTTCGCGAGTGGATGGCTTAGCGAGAATGCAAACGCCAGAAAATTGCAGGAATTTCTAATTTTTTTTATCTTGGAATAGTACCTAGTTCGATCAAGTGTAGAGTGCTTTCGAGAGCATAAACAACTTCTTAGAAAGGTTCCGTCTATCAAGTTTTTTCTCCGTCAGAACAGATTGATGGAGACACTAAATTTTCTACAAACGGTCTCACCACCTGACACACTGCCTCTTCCTAATTCAAGAGGACTCGGTCTGCCAGAGCTGTCTCGGCTTGCCAGTCGAAAGAGCAGCTTGTAACTCCACGGCCAGCCACAGTCTGACGTGCTAGCTTCCACATCAGGATGGCCTGGCTTTGGCAGTGCTTACAATGGGTGTATCCTGTATTCACGAGTTAGTCAAGGGTGATGGTTCCGTCATGCAAACTGACCTTATGTTGATGGTAACGATTGGTCTTCTCTCCTCGATTTCTCACTGTCTGGTTGAACCAGTATTGGAGCAGCTTAAACCTTTCAGTCAGTATTCGAGCCTGAGCGATGCCAACATTTGATTTACTGTGAAGGTGGAATTTGGCAGCCGAGCGTCCATACGCTATCGTAGCAGATCTCCCTGTCTTCAGCAAGGTTGAACATGGCAAAATGCCAGCGATCGGTGTAGGTAGGATTTGGGAGCGCCGTGGCTGCGCGCGGCTTGCTGGAAGCGTGGCCAACATTGCGCTTGCTTGTTAACGGGCTTTAAATCCTTGAATCGTGTGCTCTGCCACTAGTGGCACGCTTTAAATATCCCACTGCATTGCCCGGTCATTGGAGCTTGACGGAATGAAGAGTTCAGGAAGACGTCCGGCTCGGACCCTGGAAATTTATCCGCTTCTTTCGGAGGACTTTTGTCTTGGAAGGGAGAACACGGAACAGGAAGCATGTCTTATACAACAGCGGTCTTGCAGACGTCGTTGAGCCCTGGGTAGTTTCTATAAATAGATTAGGTTTAGAGGCCATTCCACTGACCAGTTTATTTCCTGCAGCGAGCATGTCTCTGAAATCCGGCCCTCGCTCTTAGATCAGCTTTGCGAATGCTTCAAATTCTCTACTCCTCAACTCTCTCAATCTATAGATCATGAGTCAGCCATTCTTGCATGATAATGTGCGCTCTTCATTACTGCAGGGGCCTAGATTAGATTCATCGACGTTTGGTCACCTCCCCCAGGACGGACAACAGGAAGCCCATTCCAAATCGGCTAACAAGTTCGAACCACGGCCTGCCCCAGTTCTGCCAGATGTTGACCCGCGTACACATACGTAACCTCTCCATAGAGGGATTAAGGCCTGCAAAGAATCAAGCTCAAGCACCCATTTGAAAATGTTATAAACAACTGCGCTCTAGGCCACGTAGGTAAACACCTTTTATTTTAGCCTCTATTACTAGCATTGTCGCCGCCTTAGTGTAATCGAATGTCATTAATTAAGGTGCTCGTCGCTAGCACGCTCCATCAATTGTCGTCATCGTTTCCCGTGATATGATTGCTTACGCACCTTGAATCTCTTCCTATGCTCAGGATCCATTTTCGTCGCCATCGACTTCACTCCCATTTATCAATGCAAACGCTGTACATTCTCCAATGCAGCCTTCCGGTCCTTCTCCCTCCATTGACCTCCGAACACTTGAGACCCTGCAACACCAGATGAACGTCTTTTCAACAACGAAGCTAATCTTGTCTAGTTCTTCCAGGTCTTGTCACTACATGGCACAAAACATGGCTACTCCAACGCACCCATACGACCTTTGATCAGGTATCCAGTGGTACAGCTGATGTCGAGAAAGCGTTTACGATCACCCACCTACCTACAGTAACGACTGCCGTCACAACCTAAGCTCTCGTCGTAAGCCATGGCTAAAACCGCACGGATCAGCAGATCTTCCAAAGCTTTGAGTCCACGCTGTCGTGTGACACAAAGGCTAGCCTTTCCAGTCTCAAAATGCAAGAGAGCGCCATGTAATCTGGTCGCGGAGCATCTCCTAAGTGGGCAAGGAAAGTAACTACGTTCCAGCTCAAAAGGATAAGTACACGCCCCACCACCTTTGCATGACATCGTGTTAGGCTTGACACTTCTAGCAGCCCATGCCACTCGTTGATGCTTGTATTTCTGGGTCGATACTGTCGAACGTGTTATTGACGTGTTGTTGTCATGCCGAGTTAGGCTAGACCGGCCAAACATTAAGTACATCTTTATCGCATGCGAAGAAACCTTCATCTTCATCTTCCTCTACCTCTAACTTCCACCGGTCTCTTCAGCTCAACTAGCACAAAACTCAACGGACAGATATCTCGTAACGCTCTTCTCAAGCTATGTTTGACATGAATGCAGGTTCCCGAGCTATCAAGATGGCCGCGGAAAAGAAATCATTCCCTCAGCTTCAAGACTGCAACAACGATTTCTCCTTCAATCGTAACCCGTGGGACACGCAATTCCCCAGGAAGTCCCAAGAAGTAACAGCTACTTCGTCCGTAAACAACCCTGTGGCCCTCTCAAGGGGGAGGTTTGGGGCCGTCTGCCCTGACCCGCGGTCTCATACCTTTTCAAAAGCCGTTGCGATAGAGGTCGATGGCTCCATCGAAGATGAGACTTCTCTTTATCGGCGTGTCTTCGAAGTGCCTGGCAACGAAACACCAATATCCGTTGGAGAGGTACATGGTGGTCTGCAGCTTAACCGTTCCACATGCTGACATTGAACAGGGTAATTCCAAGCTCGCCTTTCTTGCCAAGGCTGTCGGTAAAATCCGTATGGCAGTGACAGATGGGACTGGTGATCGTGGTGGCAGCGGCTTTTTCATCGGTCATGACAAAAAGTACTTCATGACTTGCGCGCACTGGATCCCTCCCAGGGAAATTCAGGGCCAGGCGAACATCAGTCCTAATCACCGACCAAGAGGTAAGTATGTCCGGCTGCATTCCCGTGAACAAGCTAATGACTCGTATATCTCCAGTTGGACGCGAGATTGGATGTCACTTCGTCCAGGCCATTGAAGATTGGGATGTCGCTATCTTTGCCGTGGACTATGACCCCAAACTGGCTAGCGAGTTTCTGAAGTTCATATACGAGAGAGCGACCTCGGTCCCCGTCGATCATCTTGTAGCGGCCTCCTCGCTTGATCCAAAGGAAATCTGTGATCGCTATGCATTTAGCATGGGCTACTATGATGAGATTGACCCCACGCTTATTTCGACACACTGGGACAAGTGCATGAATGTCTGGCATCAGCAAGCCACTCTTCGAGAGTTGGGGCGACCCGATTATCGTGACATCTTCCCTTATCCAGGTGTCAAAAATATCATCACCGGCCGATTGAATAGCGATGGCGTGAAGGCAGAAAGCAAGACATGGTCTCACTGTATCAGTGGATGGCATGGTCTGTCTGGCGGCCTTATCGCCTACCTCGATAAACAGGAGGATGGATCAGCAAAACCGCGCATCATAGGACTCTGTAAGTAACGTATACCTTGCCTTGGGTTAGAGCTTAAGCCTCAATAGAATAGACTAACACAAGTCATGTGCCTCTTTAGTCCTTGGACCTCTTGATTCAGAACTCAAGAACGAAATGGCTGTTTTCTCATCCGAGGTCATAAATCAGATCGCGCATATCATTCAAGGAACCACTTAAGGCTCATGAAACACACAAAACTCGCTACTTCAGCATTTGTCATCTTGTAGAGCTGAGGGGCAAAAACACGGGTGTCAATCCAAAGAAAACGAAACATCAATAACTGGACCAGGATTGAGAAGCTTGAGACGGCGGGATATACAGGCGCAGAAATCAAATGACGAATGGTAGGATGTCATTGAGGTCATCGAAGGAAGCTGTGGTACTTGGAGATGGGTCGGGGCTAGACAGCAGATCAGAGTGCCTGAAAAAGGGGCCTCAGATTTCGAGTCGGCAGGTCTCCCGTACGAATAGAGAGAAATACAGTAGAAGGAGTCACGGTCCTGTGGGCCAGCCCGTCCAGATCCCGCCTTCCCTTCAGCTGCTACCATGCCATCTGCCCGCATCCCCATCCCCATCCACCGCCTCTCCAACCTCCTCTAGAAGAACCTCAGGACTTACATTTCGACTTATTCAAAAAGAAAAGCACGATGGTGTCATTTACCATTCAACTTAGATTGTGAGGGTTGTCCGCATCACTCCTTCGTCGTTGCTTCCTCCATTTCCAACCATCTCTTGCTTTGCAACCTCCATTCCTCGCCAATAACGAGTCCTTCCTCAATTCACCCAGCTCTTCCCATCGACCTCCATTTCCTCCTCCTACGCCTCATCCTTCTCCAAGATCGAAGCACTTGATTCTTCGGCGCCGAGGGTGCCCGTCCCTTAGGCCAGTCCCAAGTGATCGCTGGGGCCTCAGTACTGGGCAGGATTGTCATGCAGGCAAAAGACGGCGGCGTAATTGACAGGGAGTTGAATCAGGAGGATGCACGGCACGATACCTAGTGTAAGAAGATAATGAGGCTTTGACGTCGAGAAGCGACGGTCTGAAATAAAGTGTCTGGCGGATTGTAGCCCGTGATGAATGACCTTATTGTTGATGCAGCTGGCCATGATGGACGAGGAAATCGAGGGGGGAACCAGACCGGCGAAAGAGAGACACAAGGTCCAAACGGACTTACATGATTTGTCCTCAACATATCGAGACCTTGGCTCAAGATCAAGAATTTGGACTGCCCCCTTGGCCAGCACCTCGACTTGGGGCCTGGCCTACCCCGGTCAGCAAATATCGAGATATCTAACGAGCGAGACATCAGTTCAAGACTAGAACACGGACTGGCGACCCCTGGCCAACCTTCTACCTTTTTGAGAAGCGAGACACAACTAGGACTGGCAGCTTTGCGTGCAGATATCTCAAGTCTGCCAAGATGTACAAGAGCAGCAAGACACCATGAAGGCTAGCAACTTTCCCAGCAGAAATGCTGAATTTCTAGGGGCGAAAGTCTTATATCAAGGATCGAAGGCAAAAGGATATCAAAGAGCATGCAGTAGGGATCGAGGAAGAAACGAGGGCAGATCAGAGAAGAGGCAATCAACGTTACGCCCGCTTTTCACGAGCAGAAAAGATTTCAGCCAGATTTACATGATTCTTTGCGATGTTCCAAGCATTTTCTGTACAGCGCCTTGGCGTCTTCTCGTTTGTCTGCATGCGCGATGGAGGACGGACATTGTATATAAGGCCGATCTCTCTCTGCTGCTACCAAAACTCCTACGATAGGGCTGGAAGTGCCTGTCCTGGGTGGCGGATTGCAAGCTTCCACATTACCCTACTTAATGGAGCCGGAGAGTGTGGGGCTCCAAATCAAAACCCAATAGGATCGACAGGAGGATGAGTAGGGTTCCCGCCCACAACCAGGTCTACTGTGATATGGACTTATGGGAGCACATCAATATATCACCGCTACATTAAGAGGCTCGGAGCCGGAAACGCAATACTTCTCAATCAGCCTCAGTTTATGAAGGTTGTATTGGCTGTCTTCCCAATTCCATTTGGAGACGGAAAAGTTATTGAGAACCGGCCATTCAACGACTTACAGCTAAAGCGAAAGATGAAAAACCGTTCCTCCGAATCCCATTTTGACATCACTGAAACAGCATCTTTCGCGTCATATCTGTGGCGAGGCGCTTGTGGGTGCCGGTGAAGCTATTGACCGTCAATTTTCCATGGATGAAGGGCCCAATCGCTGAGAGAACGGTCAAGCTATTGGTTGACGGCAAGGAGAGCCAGGATGAGAACTTCGGAAAAGTCAAGAGAAGATCAGGTCGTGGCACAAGTGCGTCAAGACTATTGTACATTGTGAGGTCGAATTCGAACGCGAATTCGAACTTGGAAACTCACCCACGACCTCTGAGTTGGAAAAGACGGTGCCAGCAGGTGCGGTAGAACGAGAAGTGTAGTAGAATTTGCTGGCGATCACAACCAGATAGGGGCCATGAAGTCGTGATATGGAATTACAAGATCTCGTCTCCATGATTCAGTCGTCCATCACCTGAAGCTCGTCTGTCTATTCGCCTACTTCTACAACAATCAGTCTACTCAAAGAGAGTACGTTCGGTTGCCTAAACTACCAGCGAGAAGAGAAATTTTGAGCCCTGCGAAGCAACCACATCATCACAGCCACCTCATACAGCGCTAAAAAATGATCCAGCATTTCGCATTCCAACTTTCGCTCTCTTCTGCCTCGTCAACAATCTTTTCGGCTTACCTACCGCTCTTAAGAAATTTCTCACTCATTAAGTGGAACAAGTTCCACCAACGACATTAAATATCATCACTTCCACTTTCTTCGTTTCCCGTCACGACTTCCAACAACACGATGAATTACCTCTACTGATCTAGCTACACATAGTATCATGGACTGCATACGAAGCCCCCTTCTTGCAGATACATTAGAAAAGCATTACGCACAATGCTGCTTATCAAATGATTCGAATGCCGGGGCGTCTTCACAAAATCCACCACCATCTCCATCTCTAGTCTCCCGCTTTATGAGCCGCCTGTCCACAGCCTTGAATCTTCACCTGCAGTCCAAAAAGGCTGCCAGCAATATCACGGTATCCTTCCCTCATCACTCCGAGGGATTCCTCATGCCGACATACTTTTCCCCGCCCACTACAAAGTCACTTCCGCACATTCCATCAGCTCGCTCGATAAGCTAATCCGACAGCCTAAGTCTCTTCTCTCAACCAATTCCCTCTGTCCCTCGCCATCATTCTGCTGGTATGAAGGCTAAAAGTCCATCATCTGCCATTGGCACTTGCCCACCTCCAACTCCTACCCCGTTCCTCGCTCGCCTCCAGACCATTGACTCTCGCCGCAAACAACGCTCCCGACCTCCATCAAAACCGTCCCACCGACCCCCTCTAACCCCTCCACAATCACTTCTCTAGCCATCACTTAGAGCATCGCCATCATTTCCATTACTCTTGTTGCCTAGCCCCCCTCTTATCTCTCTTCCTCGTCCTCTTGTACGTCCCAAAGTACTTGTGGTAAAAAAAGAATAAGACTGCTATGCAACACCACCCGCTCTTCTGCTGCCCCATCAACAAGGCCTTGTCCCCATTAAGATGAAGGAAAGAAGCCCCAGAGGTAACAAAACAGGCCACCTTAATCCCCGCCCATCTATTCCGTTCCACTATTTGCGACCTCTTCACCTCACTAGATACCTCATGACGCCAACAAATGGCTACCTCCCAATGCCTACAGTCAGACAGGCTCCTGCAATACCTCCCACACCGTCATTTCATCCCCCCGCAACCCTTCAAAGTAACCCCCAACAGACAAGGCAATATCCAACACTATCTCGATGCTATCGGTGCAACCCTGCAGAAGGACTTCCAAGCACTGCTGAACAATCTCAAAATACCGCTCTCGAGCGCAGGGTCGACGACACCAGACTGTCTCCCCCCTTTCTCCAAAAGCATGACCATAGACCGTGACTGCCACATTCAGAACTCCACGTCTCCGCCCCCTAAACCCTGGTCAGCGTGAGCGTGTCAGCGCAGGGGGGAGAACGACGCTGTTCGCGGTACGATTTCGACGCCGAAAAAGGCTTTGCGGGGCACTTGGCGCAAACGCCTATTACGCGTTTGACTTTGATTCAAAAAGGCCCTTTTTGATCCAAGGTGTGGTATGGGACATGGAAAGGGATGAAGGGGCAAGGGAGGAGAGATGCAGAGCGATTGGGGAATGAAAGCCCACTCGGCATAGGATAGGCATAGTCACCGGATGGGAGGGATGGGCAGAGCGTAGAAAGAAGGCTGAGAAGGAAGCTCTGGTGTAAAAGACTATTCGCTGTCTTGCTCCTAAATGTTCCTCAGCGTGTCCGTTCGATAACGCTTCATGAGCTCACGGACCAGCCATCTGCAGGGGGAAGTCGTTTGAGCTGTGAGATTGCGAGTGCAAGAAAGCGTTTTGCTAACTCTACTTTGCTATTGCGAAGCCAACAGTCTCGGGATAATAGCACGATGGGATGTGTCGAGGGTTTGTTTCAGTGTAGTGCGGTAGGTTAGAGAGTACTTGCTATGCAGGGGGAGAAAAAAGGGGAGAGGACATCGAACTTAAGCCAATCATGCCCATAGGGATAGCAGGAAGGTCGGGGGGTTTTGGGGGGGCGCAAGGGAAGGAATGCTCCATGACGCATGGGCAACAGCACAGCACACCTTATCTGGTAATCAGAGCGGATGCGCTGGTAGTAGGAGCCTTTTGTGGCAATAAGACAGCTAGCTAATCATGAGCTTTAAAGAGACTTGCATTTTACGGTAGTAGGGGTGCATATTGAGATTCGTTATGTCTCGCTTCTCTTTGGCATATCCTTGAAAGGTTGAGCTATCTACACCCGAAGCTAATAGTCCTGATTGTGCTTTACTTCTTGAAAAGATGAAATGTTGATCCAAAGAGGACAGTCCACTCTCTTGATCTTAGGCCATTGCCTCGATATTTAATGAGACTTGGTCGTATTAAATAGTATCATTGATCTGGTACTCAAACTTGGTCGATCTCTTTTGTAAAGCTTTTTGTTGAGATTTGGGGGTTTTTCGTATTGTTTGGGCGTGCTTTGAAGTCTTTCATCAGGTGTGACAACGTTCCGGTATAAGGAGGGGTAAGGGCGAAGAGAGGCGCAGAGCCTACCGGCGCTCCATCTTGGGTGGTCGAGGCAAGCTGCACGAGCTAATGACCTCGTGTTGTCCTTCACCAATGGGCGGAAGGATATGTTGATGATGCATCTGTCTCAGTATCACATCTCTCACAAGCCAGCCTGTCAGGTGAAGTGGGGTGACGCAGGTGCTCGGTGCACACTAGATCAAGACTTCGGAATTGTGATGGAGTGACGGCGAGGAAGAACCTAGTAGAGGCTGAGTCAAACTGAATTTTGAAGATTCTAGTAGAAGGGTGGAGTGCGTTACTCGGTAAGATGTTAGTTTTCATCCGACGTCCTCAACCAGTACCGTAACTCAGCCCTTAGCTTTCCATGATTTCTTGTTCTAAGCCGTTTTCGCTTTGATCTTGCTTGCATTTGAGCGAAGGAGTGCAAGTATTCGGCCATAGGTATCAAAGAGAGGCACGGAGAGGGTGTGCAGATATGGACCGGCGGTTTGTGGTAGACTTCGGCGGTGGGTGTAGGCGATCAACCACGCGAAAGACTGGAGGGCAGCGGACATTCTTTCGCCCCGTCTGTTCAAGTCTTCGATTTGCCTCTCTTCGATACCTGAGCATGCTGCCTTTCGGCTCCAAGTCCACCACCATATAGGCACCAATATTTCTCATGGTCACTACCACTCTTGGCAAGAAGACATCTACGTTCTAGAGAAGTGGGGGCAGAGGGGCCGATGGGACTGCTCCCGCTCAGGGGCAGAGACCCTCATTCCTACGCGCATTCTATCAGCCATGCACTTAGTATTACTGCCTCGTGGCCTTTAGGGCAATCTCCTACCGTAGATGATCCGCCGTGAGTACATTGTGAGCCAGAGTCAGGGGCAAGAGGGCGCCAGCGGGCTGCGCGAGCCGGCTAGGGCAAGCACATCGCGGACAAATCCCATGTCACCTAACTGAGAAGACCTATCTTGATTTACGGAGAATCCAGAGTGGTAGGAGGGAGTTTTGGAGGATCAAAGGTAGGCTGCACAAGATTCTCATTACTGCCTTGGAAGTCGGAGGCGAGTGTTATTTTTGCGAATGTCTGATGGTAGGCTCAGATCGTGCAGGCATGAGCACGAGAAATGTATGATCTTTTACATCCCCCGCAATCTTGACGGTTTGTCTACGGTTGCTGTGGAGTCAAGAAAGGCCTTTATTCCTACTACACCCCTCGGCCGGGCCGACTTTGATCCTACCACCCAAGCTGGGTGGTTGCGGGCCGACTTAGAATCCGGAAGTCCAATATCTTCAATGATATGTGGTGACTAAGAGAAATCGCACCAATAATCGCCAGTCTATTCTTAACCATCAGTCTTCTAGGGGGGTGATGCCTCATTTGCCTGATGAACAACAAACAGCATGCAGGGACGCATATAGCCACACAAGCTAGGCAACAACACACAAGCGCTCGTGAGCTGTCTATTTTCGCTGAACATTCCGTTGCTTTTCATCTCCATCCCATTTGGATTCAAGGACAACAATTACCATTATAAGAAATATGACTCCGATTCAGCGTACGACATTGGAAGCGGATCGCGCCGGCGTTGTGTTGTCTCGATGCGACTTTCTTGATCAAAAACAAGATGAGGCGACCAATGTCTGGCTTCACAGAGCGTGCATCTTCCTAGCTTTCCTCGGCGCTTTCTTCTGTGCCAATCTCCCATTTCGGGACCGAGACAGGTGGAACACGATTGTACCGCTCATGGTCATCGGTGCAAGGTATGCAAGACATGCGCGGGTGAAAAGCTGGCCCCACCAAACATGGGCTGTCCTGAAGACCTCCCTCGCCGACATCTTCTTCTGGGTGTGTTTTCCGGGCCATAGGCTAGACTGGTGGACCCTTCTGGTGACTCTCATGATCGTTGGGGCAAGATCTCCAAGTTGTGCCGGTGCTCTACGCGACTACTGCCTGGCTTGGTGGGGAGAATATATCGCTCTTGGGCTCGCCTGGCTGGGAAGTAAAGTTGTATGAAAGAACCCCCCAATGCCCCTCCTCCTCTTCGTGCAGTACTATGATGAAGTGAAGACAAAGACTGACTCATCCACTGCAGTATGAGATGGAATCCTTATTCCAGACTTACGTCGGAGGACCTTGTTCGGCGTTCATGTCCACCATTGGCTCCTGGTTGTGGTGGGCCGTCTTCAGCTGCGTATCACATCTCGTTGGAGACGTTGTAGGACTCGTACACTGGATACGGACATACGATCGGGATTGTAGTCAGCCGCTGATCCTTCCTGCTCAAAGAGAGGTATTGACGCTCTTCCGACTGGCTGGGCTCAGTACGATCGAAGACGGGCTCGGCAAAGTGAAGATGTACGCATTCGACTATCTCAATGAATGGCAGGCAGCGTGGGCACCTGTGTGGCCAGACTATCTGCCAGCCTTCAAACCCTGTATTGCTGTCGACTTTCTACAGGCGTGTCTACTGTACATCCCTCTCGCCATCTTGCTGTATATTCTCGCGCCCATGACTTGGAAATTGCTCAAGTGGCTGATTAAGGTCTGCCAGCTCATCATCGGGGTGATTAAATGGTATAGAAGGAATAAATTATGGGCTCTCATCATTGTTGGAGTGGTAGGCACTATTGCGGTAGTGATTTGGCAATGGGAGTCTTGCAAGGATATCTGGCTGGCATTAGAGCGAAGGTGGTCTCCTCCTACAAAAGAACATCCCGGATTCAATCGTACTACGAAGCCACTCGAGATTGAAGCAAAGTAAAAGCACGGTGGGGGTCGACTTCATGATTGCATTCTCGGCAAAACGTTCGGACGGGAGTTCTTGGGGCAAGGGCATGGAAGAATAGATCTGCGATTCGAGATGGAACATTGATTTGATTTGCATGAGTCTAAAGCAATACATGGCGGTAATTTGTTGAAAATACCTTGGAATCTTATTCCTCCTCGTCTCTGAGATACTGCTTGACGTACCGAAACAGCTATATTGAACTCACCCTGAACAAAAGTATGAGATCTGTTAAAGAGTGAGAGGGACAAAATCGATCTCGTTCTTCACGAAAACTTCTAGTGAGTCCTGTACTGTACTGACTACTCGCGCATCTCAAAGCTTTGATCAGTCTTCTTTGGGTTTGGCGTAGGACTGACAGGTTCCTCCGCCTCCTTGCTCGATTGGTTGGCTGACGATGCTTGCCCCGGACTACGACGCTTGCGCTTCGGGGATCTCAGTCCCACATTCTCGTGCATCTGGGGACACTGGAACTCCACCAGAGTGGCTTCGCTGTCTTCTTTATCTTTGGTCTCATCTGTCGTCCCTTGGCTCTCATCAACCGTGTTCTTATTAATGTCAAGGACTTCGGCGGGAGCCACGACTGCAATTTGTTCACGTTGCTCATTATCTAGATCCATATTCTCTTGTTGTTGCCCAGGCGGAGTCTTCTCGCCACCGAGTTTTTGCATTTTGGGAAAGCGCTCTCCCGTCAGGGTCTCAGAAGCCTTTCGTTTGTGACTTGTATCGGTACTTCTATCGTCACCCATCATGGGTCCTTGCCCTTCTGTGCTTCCGTCCTTTGTATCACTGCCGTCTTGATGTCTGCCAGACCCAGCGTCATCCAAGTCGTTCCTTTTGGATTTGGCGATCGTAAGACCAGCAATTGTAATAACAGCAGTGAATAAGATCATGGACTTTCCAGGATTATTAGCGATCCATTCGTGGGTCCCTGCCACAGCGCGCAACGCGTTCCCGGGTAAATCTTTCAAGTAGCGTGGCACAACGTTGATATCAAAGGAGGCTTTCTTGGTTTTGTCAAACATAGATCGAGCGAACTCGGCCGTTCGCCCTGAGATCGCGTACCAGCCTTGCTTCCATATACTGCCCTTAGCCTCCTCAATGGTAAGGGTTTCAAAGCAGATCCTGCGCAAAGAGGCACCAAAGGGTTTTTCCTCAGTGGCCATGTAATTACCACTGTATTCTCGACATACGCTGATGAGTTTCTCAGGTGTTTTCATTAAGAGCTCATCAATTTCTAGGTCTGCCGGTGACATATCAGACTCGGATCCCATGTGCTGAAGTTGGTCAAGAATTTGCCTGGTGGGCGTAGACTCTGCTAGCATTACCTTTGGGCCGTAATTGCTCAATAAATTCGCCACCAGTGCCGACAGTAGAAGCATTTGATCAGAATTAGGACCACGCCTCATCCCAGGGAATGGGATGTCGAATAAGGATGAATCTTCTGCAGGCGGAGCGCGCTCTGCATCTGGGTCGGCTACCGCTCTTGCTTGGGTAGTCTCGGTAGTATCGACTTCAACTGCCTTCTCTTCGCCAGCTCTATTCTTATTGATCTTTGCGCTCTCCTCTGTGGATATGTGGCCTCCGTCATCTCCCGCTACGCGTTGTTGCAGACTTGGCAACATCTCGCCCTCACGGCCTTCCCGAGGGCGCTCAGAAGGTCCCTGGGCTAGGCCAGCATTCTCGGTAGAAGATTCCTGCACATTCAAGTCACTTGTTGAAAATGAAGGTACATTAGTATTGGTTTCATTGTGTACAGAATGGCCTGCATCATGCTCGCCTTGCAGCTGACTTTGCTGCGTGGGATTCTCTCCAGGATCATCGGCTGATGGCCCACGCAGAGTAGTAGCTCCTTGCGGCTCTTTCGAGCCTGTCGCATCGTCATCCGCCATTTTGCTCGACTGTAGCGTTGTTCAGGGTGGTTTTGTTGCAGAAATAGCGAATGATGTCAGCTCAGCTTTGTAAATTGGGGAGTCCTCAGTAGTAGCTTCGAAAGCAAGAAGTGTATGAGAGACCAGATGTTGAGATGTTGAGCATGAAAGAGAAAGAATGTGTCCGGGGCTGGGAAGGGCGTCTCCGGGGGCCTTATACTCACCAAGCGGTTGTTTGCTTTGAAATCAAACGCAGGTTGCCGTAGGCGACCAGACGTGACGTGTCCACATCAGCAAAGCTCCGATTTCAGCAATCAACACGTGTACTGGATGGTTTGGGATCTTTCTAGCCTTGTGGGCCTGCTTTCAGCAGCTCTGAGCATCGATCACATCGCCCGCTTTTTGTCGAAAATTGTGGTTTTGTCGACATCTTCATCAGACAACTGATTCGTCGGTTTCAACAGCTCTCACCTTGCCCCCCTCCACACTCACCGAACGCCTATGCAACAAGTCATCCCTATGCCTTCCTGGTTCCAGGTGCCGAGCTGGCGAGAAGTACGAGATCGATGGAGCTCAGCCTGGGAGACGATGACGGACTTGTGGGATCTCATAAAGATGGACTTGACAAGACGGCACTCACAGCTCTACCAAAACATCATGGGGCGGCGTTCCAATCAAGATCGCGATTTCGAACTCCATCGGCGATGGGTTGCCAAGAAGGCCTGGGTCATCTGCAAAACATTACTCAAGCTTCATCTCTACGCTTGGATGATTATACTGTTGTGGCCCAATGTATCCAAGGTATGTGAGTCCGCGGAGGGATGGCTGGATTGTCGACGTTGCGGGGTCTTGCCTCAAAGCGAAGTCCATGAAAAGAATTCGCCGGGCATTAAATTAGCATGGCCGCATGATCAGCCTCCCAAAGTTTCGATGGACTTGTATAACATAGCGCTTGCGCCGAATCGAGTTCGCTATCGGATTGAGGTCTTGAAGGAGCAGCGGCACAAGATGCTTCTGAATCAGAATGCTCCTTACGGGCCTCAGAGCGGTCTCTTGGATCTGATTTGTAAGGGAGCTTTGAATTCTCAGCGAGCAGAAGTCCGCTAACGAGGGAACAGCATCCGTGATCGATGTTGGAGATGGTCCCTTAGACGACCTAGAGGCGTTGGGGTTCTCATTATGTGACTTTGCCGATGAAGCTGGTGAGATTGCCGAACGCCTGATGGGTTTAAACAAGAACCATCACACCAAGCTCAGTCGATGGTCGCTCTTTCTGACGTCGCATCTACATGCTTTCAGAGCTCTTGACAAGTTCTTCAATTGGCCGTTACCACCCTACTTGAAGTACCGGCTGTATGACTGGGAGGCTAAAAGTGACTTGGCTTACGGGTATGGGACACTTACCAAACAATCCATGGCCCACAGTGTATTGGTCCGAGAAGGCTTCCTGAATCAGAAGTGGAAGGATTTTCCACAGGAAATAGCCAACATGGGTCCAAGACTTGAGGCCTTGCTAACAAAAGAGCAACATCGCTTGTGGGATTACTCTAGATCGGTAAAATCAGCAATACCCTTTCGCACCCCCACGTATCGTAGTTTGCAAGCTCCTGAATGGCCTCCGGAAAGTTCAAGGAATCCTGGGCCACATCTAGACACATCCGTCAAGGATCTGTACGGTGTCTACGAGCGGGTAAAAAGTGGTACTCATAACTTCACCAGCGAGATTCTAGCAGTAGCCCCCGCTTGAGCGCATGGGATCGTGAAATACGCGAGTTGCATGCTGACCTGTCCAAAGGCCACGACTGGGACGAAATCAGAAGGCACCCTGCTGATGTACAACGATTGGTCGAGGTTGTTCAAAAATTCAGACCTCAAGACGAGGATGGCAGCAGAGTTTCGCGTCGTGAAGCGGCAAAGTACCTGAAATCAGAGTATGACCGTGACAATGGCTTGAGCTTCGGTGCAGCGGTCAAGCAACTCAAATATCTTCAATCACAAAGGAACGGATAGATCTAGGAGGTACCGTGTTGCGGGTTGTCTTTAAGTACATCAAATCCCTGGGGGATCGCTACATTGGGTAATCCAGCGCACAACCCGAGAAATGCTGAAAAGGACGGCTTTAAGCCCGATGATCAAAGGAGCTTTTCATCGATCGGTGACCGACTACGAAGTCGCCGTTGGTCGACCTGGGAGTAGGCATGTTTGATGGGACTAAATATATTGAATATAACAATGATTGCAGAATAAAGTTTCGCAGTTATGCAGGATCGATCAAGCATAGGTAATAGCCCGCTGCATCTTCTATTGCAAGTATTAGATTATTCGGACTGCTGATTCAGCAATGATACTTGACAGAATCAGTCAAGTTGCCCATATTTAGCTCACCCCCAAATTGAGCTCAGTCGCGAGATTCTTTTCCCCTTTGCGCTGGAGGTCCACGACATGATTGCCCACGATGATACCTCCCGGTTTCACTGTTCCTCTGCCTGTTGATTGTCACCCGTCGACAATACTATTGCAGTCTCCCTCGAGCGTTTCTTTCGACGTTCTCGGGCTCTCGCTTTTATACTGAGTGCAGATAGACCTTGCATAGTAACATAATTTGGAGGGAAGTTTCCCTCATGTTTGTTGAGCCTATAACGGATCCAGATCTTCAAAGTATCCATTTCCAACCATCTTGTCCTCCCATATGGCCGAAGATCTATATCCTCAGGGACATCTGGCGAAAGGCAGGCTTCTTCGAGCTTTTCCCACTCATCCTGAATCGTAGTATCATCTGGAATAGTCTCGGAAAAAGTGAGATCAGTGATGTTATAGTTCATTTGGTAAGGCTTGAATCTGTCTTTCAAGATAGCCTCGCATTCCGCCCGCTCGATCATGTCGAGCTCGCTAAAATGACTCAGCACCGGAGCATCTTGCATCACTAGGAGCGTAAAACGTCAGCGAATTGGATTCTCCGAACAATTGATGGACACGCTCCACTTACCTTCATCGCCAATCATCTGCCGGGTATTCTCCGCAACGGCGTCTCCGTACGGAGGAGGCAGGTCATCCTCTTGTGCGAACGTATTTTCGGCTTCTAGGGGTTGATCTCTTACTGGGGTCAAGCTGCTGGATCTCGATTCGTCAGCCTCTTGTGAGGAAGTAGCATCAGCCTCTGGTCCGACTTGTAATCCATTTCGCGAAGTGTCAGAGTCATCGGCGCCCAACGAGTCTCGGCGTTTTGGCACTGGTAGGTCAGAACTCCCCGACTCTTCGTGTCCAAACCCTTCAATGGGTATAGCTGTGGGTGAAGTTGTAGGAAGAGTGGTGGGAAGAGCTGTGGGTAGAGCTGCGACTCTCTGCTCTTGGGGAGAAGATGGCGGGATAGCCTTGTCGGATAAAGTCGAGGTGAGGGGACGGCGACTGTTGTGTAAGTCAGGGCCATTGAATCTCACTGGCTGGATCCAATGTACCCTGAGCATCGTCAATTACATGAGCAATATGCAGGAGGAATGCGCAATCATACAAGCAACACGCGAGGAGGATATCTAGGACAAGGTAGACCATGGCCAGCCATAGCCACACCTGGTATTCTTCTTGTTCGTTGATCGCCCAGAAGTCTCTCCCAATCAGGTAGGGCAGCCTGTCTTTGTATCGATGGACCATGAAATGAGCGGCTAGGATCTCGCAGCTATCGTATTCGAATTTCATTAAAATGACCATAAAGACCGCTACCCAAAGAATCCGCTTGAAGAAGCTATTGCACATGCTTTTGAGTATGGTACTCAACATGCTGGGCAAGGACATCTCGTGTGGCTACGACGCGTTGCAAGGTGTGCGCTGTGAGTCTAGGTAATTCCAAACTTCAGTTCTGGAGCAGGATACAGGATCAATATCTCAGTGCTAGTAGTCCCTAGGGTGTCGATCTACAGAGCAATCAATCACGCGTTTGCAATGTGTTAACTTGCTATGTTATCAACACAACACGTGTACAGTAAACAACAATCACGGCAAGTCTAGCGTGTTCGCGATGCACACGCAAACGCGCAGGTTGCCATCACAGCTCATATTCCCACTTCCCAAGTTAAGTCAGACAGCTATTCGCAAATCGACGGTCAAGCAACATTCAGAGGTTCCTGACTCCGATCAACTTGCGGTGGTCGATCTGAGTACTGTACAAAGGGGAGCGATGAGCGACATCGCTAGTCTAGTGGCGTACAGTGCGAACCCTACAGAGGGTGCATATGCTCGTCGCCGCCAGTTACCAGGCGGTGCCTCGGAATGGGTACCTTCTGCAAGTACGTGTGAAAAGACTCGGGAGGAGGATACCGAACACATACTCACTTGGTAATAGCTCCTTTCTCCCGCAACCCCCAGACGAGCACGGCATTAGTGCCTAGGTCCAACGTAACCCATGCCATGCCTAGAAGATGGAGTTATAAGTCCGCTGATTGCTTTCCTAAAAATCTTCATAATATTAACGAGTGCAGGCACGTTGTCTTTGGCCTCTTAGCCATCCTCATCCTATACGCCCTTGCAATGCTTTCATATCCGGTGTTGAAGCCCGCAATCGGATTCGTCAGTCTCAAAGAGTGGACACCTCATCGTGAGAACGGAGGCTTGCGTCAACATACTGGGAGTGGTCTAGACATTGAGAACAGCTTCGCATCATGTAGTCTAAAGGATGAGTCGGCTTTAATGTTGACCAGGCAAGCATCGTACAACAAGTCGATGTTTGCTCTGAACAGACAGTTTACTTCGGTATTAGCTTGCCAAGTGAAATACTATCATTTTGGGACTCCACAGGAGACTCTGAAGGTCATTCGCGACACGAAATTATACATCGACCAAGCGGAGCGGCGTGGGAAGTTACTACTGTCAAAACTTGAAAGACTTAGGCAGAAATGTAAAGAGCATCACAGTCAGGTCCTGAGCGAGGTGGATTCAGAAGCTTGTGGAGAGAAGTACGTTCACAAGGTCCTGCGCATTCCGAAGAGTCGGCGACAAGACGAGAGCACCAAGGCAGCGCTTGCGAGATTAGATTATCAGCTTCACCTGCGGGCTTCTGAAGAAGCCGTCTTGAATGCAACCTACGACGCCGAGCAAGAGATAAGGGTTCTGGGGCACGACATTGAGATGATGTCTCAACTGAAGGGTGACATACAGCATTGGGCCAGCCAGGTGCAACAGTGGGTGTACGATCTCGGCGAAACTAGTATGGGTTTAGGGTTTGCAGAAGCGAGTCTATCAATCACGAAAGGAACTAAAAGCCAGCATCAAAAGCTGAAGAAAATGTTCTTCAATGCCATGGTCGCTTGCCAGATGTTTGATGTTGATACATCTGAGGCTTTTTGGAACGAGTTAGAATGCGTTCCTTTGTTAGGACCAGGAGATACCTAAGCTTTGCACCAGACAGCTCTTTCGGCTCGTTGTGAGGCCCTGAAGCGTTCGTAGTAAGCTCGGCCAGCGGCTACGTCGGCATGAAGTCGGGGGTTTGAAGGGGCTGAACTTGCATCTCAAGAAGAGATTGAGCGTCTTGATCGACATCTCATAGATCATGAATTCTGTTCTGAATAAAGTATAGCATACGTATTTACTCATGACAAGAATGCGTGTGTTCCATCATCCGCAGGACAAATTGATCCCTATGTTTGTTCTAGACATCGAGATATTGAACACTTCAATCTCGCTGATTATCTAGCGTTCTGTACTCTTCTCATCTTGCACACATGTTCTTGGAATTAAGAAGGCCATGCTAAGACATTTCAAGCGAGACACTTCCGTCTGTCCTCAGGAGGTGGGGAATCGACACTGATGCGCCAAGTAGCGTCGTATATTCAGACCCAGTAGATTTCCTTGCTTCTCGACCTTACCGCGCAGATCAAGCTCATGCAGCCTGGTTACTGCCTTGTCAAACGTTGGCCCACTGAGAGTCATTCGTTTCAAAACGCTGTTAGATAGCTTGTTAGCATGAAGCCCCAACGAGTCCTAACATTATTGACAAGCCAGAAAGAATTTCAAGACAGACGACTTACAAATCCTCGGTCAATTCGTTCTGGAGCCAAAACAGACTCCCCGGCCCAAATACTCGAACCAAGGCCTCCAAATGCTTGCCTCGCTGATTCATATTTTGCCAGAAGGTCATATAGTATCTGATGTTCGAATCTGTAACATCAAGGCCGAGGGCTGTGATAAGGCTCTCCACCTTTACTTTGTTGATGCGCGCATTCTTGCCCCAGGTGGTCGTTACGAAGTCATGGAAATACAACCAGACAAACAGCCGTCGAACACGTGTAAACGTGTCGACGAATTTCAATCTCCCCTCAACAAGGAATAGCCTGACCATTGCCTGGCTCTGAGTCTGAAGGTCTAGATTTGCAAAAGGGTTGTCGTTTTCCTTATGACCGAACGAGAATTGGAAAGAACCGCGAAAGAAATCTTCAGCGGAGCCGCGAGGATTCGTACCCTCGAGATATATTTCGATATCTGGTGCTAGTCTTAGGTCGTTCATAACGAGGATGCCGAACCATTGGCTATCGGCCTTTATGATTTTTTTTTGTTTGGGCGTCTTCTGAGCACCCGAGGACAGTCCAGCAGATTGTCCCTCCTCATCGTCATCATTGACAGGTGTGGACTTTGTTACGGAGGGCGGGAGGACAGAGGGTGCCTGATAGTACATGTAAGTCAGCCACTGAAAGTTCGCTCTTCCCTCAGGGCCACGATTCTCCGTACTTCTCTCTTTGCCTGGCCACAGAGTAGCCGGCTCCAATTTGAGATCATTTGAGTGTTCATGTGTTCGGAAATCAATGATGGTTTTGTGGTACGGTTGTAAGGTAAATGATGCCGAGTTGAGATGTAGTGGAAGTGGAAGAGAAAAGTAGATTGTATGAAGAATCTCAAATGTATGCGGAGAGCATTGCGATACTTTTGGAGGGGGTGAGTTAGGGGGGGCCTTATAAGTCCTGCTTGGAGACCTGCTAGGAAGGAGTGTTTACCAATCTCTTCAGAGGTGTCTATTTACCATACAAGGATGTCGATCGCGTCTCTGTGGTTACCTGTAGGACGCGTAAACAAAGAGTGGCTGGTTTGCTGCTAACACACATTCATCTGTTGATTACAATCACGAGAACAATGATTGGGTTAAGACAGATTCTAGCGTATCATTATTACCTATTTTCTCGACATAAGTTGATCGGGATGTGATCCCCCAAGATTCTTGAACCAAATTTCCACTTTCACTTCTCGACCTACAAAGCCTTTCTTTTTGCCCTTATCCAGCTATCATGAGGAGAAGAACGGTCATTGCTATCGCCTTCGCGATTTTGGCTATCCTCTTTCATCGCCTATACCAAAGTATGTACCCGAACGTGCCCACTGGTCGTTAGAGAACTAACACGTCGTAGCCCACGCATTCATAAGACTCAACCCTTGGTCTGACAAACATGGGGCCATCTCGACTTCGCCGGCAGGAGGGGAGTCTATAAGTGGTTATCTCCACGCTTATGTCACATCGGCAGCCTCTAGCCCGATCAGAGAATATCAAATCAAAGCTACGACGGTTCAACGCAAGAGGCGAACCTCGCCCAAGCGATACGCAATAAATCCACCAGGGAAGATGTGGAAGATCTGTAAACGACTCTTTCCCGTGAGAGTCAGACAAGTATCGCGGTAAAGCTATCCACGCATTCCCAAATACTTAAGACTACGGGCTAATGTGTTGTGTTATCAGCGACATCAAACAGACTTTTTTGAGTACCACTATCTGCGTCAAGACCGGCGTTCAGGGTTTGCTCGGGAAAGCTCTCAGCAAGCTCTGGCTTTCAATCCAGGTCGCTGCGTCAAGCCTCCTTTGGACTTTGAACCCGCTCAGAATCTTTTTCTCGGTTTGGGTCATCGGTACAGTGGGCAAGATACTTACATATATATGGTCATGGATTGACCCTCGGCCTTACTTCGACCCTATTTATCCCGAATGGATGGACCAATTCACGCATGCGAGTACTATAGGATTAGGTGGTCGCTTTCTAGGGCGACTTTTTAGATGGTTTCCTGGCATGATTTCTTGGATCCACCAGCTAGGTCCAAAGGGTGTCAAAGCAATCTACTACAATGCCTTGATGTTCTGGTACATAATCCGTACTCTTGTATTCATCTGGATTGCGCCTCGCCTTCATGGATTCCTGCTCGACCAATATCACCGCTTACTGAACCCTCACGGACGCCCGTTGATCCCTCATCGACGCTGGTACGTGCCTAATCATGCAATTCGAGAACGCTTAGGTCCCAGAAGCAAGGAGAATTACTTATCGCTAAGTGAGAGCCGTAAGAGGTCTTTGGAAAGATGGAAAGGTCTGGAGAGCTAGGGAGAAGTCGATGCCAGAAGGCTGGAATTCTCATAGTCTGCAAGCAAGTGAGGTCACAATGTCTGGGAATATGTCTCAGGGTATTTCTCTAGCAGTTGATTCAAAATTAATGCTCAATCTGTCTCTTCCTTATTGACATTTGGAACAGCACAAAGAAGGAACAGAAACCTTCTGTCTTCGTCGTCTGCCATAGAACACTCGGTCTCTAAACTTACTTTACAGTTGGTATCCTTAGCCACGCTTGCTGCTCATTTGAAACGTGGCTGGGCATTTCGCGCTTTTGCCGTTCCCAAAAGCGGAACGGGCTTGTCAGAATTTGGGGGAGTGGTTTATACTCCGTTTAGCAGAGGCCTTGCGCACGCTTTCGTTCGTCAAGGCAAAGACGGCCATTTAGTAGTTTGAGCTCTTGTACTGCAGGCAAAAGTCGGCTGATCAAGAGCTTACAGGAGTCGCCTTGATATATCCGAGAGATCTAGAGAACTGAAAGGGTTATCAAAATTTGGGAATTCGGCGCGACGTCCGAGTGCGGGTTTTCAGGAATGATTGTTGGTTTCAGCGGAAACTTGCCAGCCCTGACCCGTATGGTTGAAGGATAAATCAGCTGACGGGGTGATGATGTGGGTGCCCAGCATGACAGTCTTATGACCTGCAATTAGTCCACCGAGCCGTTGAAATGGCTCCTCATGATTCAAGTAAAGAAATTTGCTGAATTGAACCGGGTATATAAGCTGGAAAGATTCTTATGGTTTATCGTATGTCAATGATGGAAAGACGCATACCGTGAAGCAGGAATAGGCATGAACGATGGGACAACCGTACCTTGACGTGACATGCTTTTGGGTATATGGTATCGTGTTTCGACTATAAATGAGAATGTTGCATCAAACTCGTTAACAATCGTACGATTTACATCAAACCACGGTCAAGCGATGCCACTGTTTGCTTTGAAGAAAAGGGTGAAAGAGGGTTGAAATGAATGAAGAAAGCCTCCACTAGCATGAATGATGTAGGGGCAGATGACTCGTATGGTCCTATCTGGAGTGAAAAAACCGTCCTATACCTCGTATCCGTCTTTCATCTGCCATTAGTCCTTTCCCTAAGGTAGATAGGGGCAGTTCTTAACACCCACAGTATCGACATAAAGGCAAACTATCTAGAGTTTTCTGGACGGCTGCATGCATCACGTACTCTTTCCGATGACTTACACTTTGAGAGCTGTCGCATACTGCGAGAATGTCTGCTTAAAGTTCGGTCCCCCACTCTCCTGTCTTTCTGACTTTCTCACCTTTCTTCCTCATCGCCCCAGCTGCTCCAAGTCCATGCTTCCCAAATATATCTTTGAGGAAGTACGCCATAATGGCTCTTTCCCACCTATCTCTTGATCGTTCGCTTCTTTTCGGTTCTGTGAGCTTTCGCAATACTTGTCTTGACGAACATCCGCCTTGTGAGACCTCGAGTTTGATCCCACTCAATCTGTGGAGCCATCTGGTCAGACAGCCGCTTTCTTCGGCGGACCCGCGAAAGTGCTCACCCTGAGCACGAATACGTTCGCCAGGAAGGTATCGGAATGGATCCTCCGGAGACACATCAATGGGACATACGCCTCCCCCGTGGCTCCTCCAGTACCACAATGAGCTGGGGGCCATGCACCAGAGAAGACTCGAGAATTAAATCAAGGAATGTCCAACGAGATACTTGACGAAGGTATCACAGATTCTGGCGGCGCTCATTCGACGACGACGCGGAAAAGGTAGATTTCATCGCAGAAAGCTCGAGCGACGTCAGCGGGCCAACAGACTCCGAGAGCGATAGAGGCGTCTCGTCGTCATCTGATGCCCTTTTCCCAGGCACTGCAGATTAAGCCGTTAGCCCGACGGGCAATGATTGTGGTTTCGAGCACTTTACAGCTTTCCACCGTGTACGAGCTGGCAAACAGCGAAAGCGCCGTGAAGTACTGATCAGGGCATCGTCGGGTCATACCGAGTCACGGAAGCCCCAGCTCATGGCCATCAGAGTGCCGCTGAGCCTGCTGAAGACTAGCAATAAGTGCAATGCTGCTTCTCATCACTACCTCATTTCTTCCCCCCCCGGACCAGGATCCGTCGGACATATAGCCGCTTGATATGGGCTTCCTACACCGAAGCTTCTAGAACTGTCACAAAGTCCCTGTCATTTCAGGTCTTTCCCGCTCTATTCGGTATATCAAATTCCGCCTCTAGGACGATACACATCCTTGTGAGGTTCACGCGTCAATGGAGATCCTCGTCGCAGTTGACGAGGTTCCACGATGGTCGACAAGACTAATTAATACAATCGGCTCTGAACTAATATTGAGAAATTGCCTCGAGGCCGGTGAAATGGACTCGCCACCTTGGGCGATGTTTGGCCCACCGTCTCCACAAAGAGCACCGCAAGATAGATCATTGTCTTAATGGCTACCAGTCCAAACAATAGACCTCGAAATCAACATTAGTACTAGTGTTATTGGTCTCCAAAAAGACTTCGAAGCACTGTCAAACAGCCCCAAACTTTCCAAGGAAACTCAGAAGTCTATAAAGCCGGACCAAGTAGAATGATTGTTACAATCAGCTCCCAATTAAACGTTAAGTATCTGCTTAAGTCGACAGAAGTTCTACTGTCAACGAATATTCCATCTCGTTGACAAGCGAGACACAGTCAGGACTCGCATTTTCGCGCGCAATCATTTCAACACTCCAGTGATGGAGAGTGATTGAAGCAGAGGCTGTTGCTCCACGCGTCTCTATGCGATCAGAGACGCTTCCTGCGACGTTAACAACGAAAGCCAACAAGGCTCAGACTTCTCTTCCACGACAGCCTCCACAGCCTCTACCTCTTCCAATTCCTAATTGAAAGGAGCTCCTCCCCAATTTTCCCAGTATTTCTTATATTCTTCGCCTTGCTGGAGAGGCTGTGGCGTCTTATCACGGCCAAGATCTATGGATTTTGCGACGGGTTGACATGCGATTGTATCGTGCGCCATCATTTCTTTCGCTCCTGCCGGCCCGTACCACTTGTTCATAAGCGATAGAAGATCAAACCTGCGCATAAGGGCGTCAAATTTACTGATAGGAGGACTTTGTTGCCCTCCCTAGCTGCTGTAACCGGCGGTTGTATGTAAGAATCTCGTTTTTCCAGTATTCACATAAGCAAGATAGTCGAAATGCAGCATGATCAAGGCACTTGTGACGTGTATTCGGTCTACAGGTCTGACAACAGAGATGGATGGGTCAAGAAGTTAAGCAGAGGGTGGTCGAGTCTCGTCAGGCAGGAGATGATGTCGGAGCTACAAGAGTTGGGAGAAAGTTGATAATAGATAGAGCGGCTTACTCAATAGGTTAGGTCCACGTAGTAGTCTGACTGCTTTGCCATCTGCAGAGGAATTTGGTATTCTGGCCGAGAGTGCTAGCA